CACACACACACACACACACACACACACACACACACACACACACACACACACACACACACACACACACACACACACACATATATATATATATATATATATATATATATATATATATATATATATATATATATATATATATATATATATATGTATATATATGTTATATATATATATATATATATATAACATAATATAAGTAGCAGCTTGTGCGATGTGGACGCTCTGCCCTGCTATTAAATACCAAAAAGATATGGCTATCAACTAATCATGCCGGGCGTGAGCGGTGTCAGATGACACCTATTGGCATAAACTGCGCGACCCCAGCTTCGGAAGCAAGTGGACCTCAGCGAAGCAAACATGCCAACTCAACTGCTTCATAGCACGGCACATCAGCAGCTTTTGACCAAAAACTCACAAGTCCGATCAGAGCTGAAGTCAAAGTCCGTGGTTAAAGGAAGTGTTCCGCATTGAAGCGGGGTTTTGAACTGAATTAGCCATCTCGAAGACTTTCACAGTTGTTCAAAACTCGGCCCTTCTCAACATCTGAGCCCCTCTAGTTTCTGAGCTTCACGCCCACACCAATGGGGAGAGCATTTCGGGGTGGGTATTCCAAAGTTACTTTGGCATTCATAACGTCATAATAACAACCTTCAAATCTTGTTCTTCCATAAGGCATGCGGCGATCAAGACCAATAAAAATGTATTGTCGAGGCGTTGATATCTTGCGTTCGTACGGACGATTTCCAGATCTAACGGCGATCAATTGGCTCTCAGTCAATGTTGTGCAAAGCACGATGACGTAATGAAACCATGACGCAGTGAGGAGCATATTCGCTTAACAGAACTGTGCTTCTTTGGGCAGTCTTTTCTAATTAAAAAGCGCACCAGTAGTTATACATGAGCTTATTTCATCATATTCCATGTTTATTCCAGTACCTTCAAGTGTGAAACATTCCCTTTAAATCCTCAAGTCTTGAGAACAGGCCCAGTGAATTTTAACGGGAACCCACGAGACAAAGATTGTTTTGCATCACCTTGGCAGGTGTTGAAATTCCTAAGGATAATAACCATATCAGGGCAAACTTACATCTCAGCCAACTGGCCTAAACTTAACCGGCCGCTAATTGCAAGACATTAGCGGTCTTCACAACCTGCTGTTTAAAATGATTTTTCGTATCTGGATGTCCGGTGTGTTCAGGGCCTCAATACTTCTTCTTCTAAAATACTCAGGGCAAGAAGTCTCGGTTGCAGAAGAATCCGATGCACGAATGTTTCCCTGAATCCATCCCACCTGCAGCCGACGCCGTCGGCCCATCCCTGGGTGGTCATCCATAAAACACCTCGGCTCTGCACACGCTGATGACGATGGAGCATACATTAACGGACGAGACATTAAAGTGGAAATACGAGAGGATCAGTGAAGCCGACAAAGTTAATTGGCCGTCGAGTGATTTCTGTCCGTACAAAGACGGGCTTTTGTTGGCAGGAACGAACTGTAGCCGATCCAGGCATGAAGGGTCGCCGCAATTTGCCCTTTGTTGTGAAATAAGCCGTGCCGATGCTTGCTCACTGCAGACCAATGCCCATTCCATATTGCGGGGACTGTTCAAAGATAAAGCTGTTCGGGCAGTTGGCCACATGTAGCCTGCACATTGCCAGTGGTATCTAAACACAGCCACTTGCGTAGATATGTTATGCGAATCGACTTCTGTGCGACAGCAATGCAACTGCGGATTTTAACAGGCCTCCCGGGTCTCACGAAAGCCGCCGGCACTCATCTCAGACGCATGTGTAACACATAGTGTTATGTTTAACCCAGCGTCGGGCTGGCAACCACATGCCTACAGGTAAACGGTATGCTCGGGCAAGGGCCAACTAAGCTTATGAAACGGCCGCAAATGTCGCCATTCACGTCATCGAGTGGCATGCATCCAGTACCCTCTTTCAGTCACCCACCGTCGTTACGTAACCGCTACGCAGTTGGAAGCCAGTGACTCCCGCCTGTTAGAGCCGCACACTTCGACCGCCTGCTAAACACACGAGCCTGGTCGCTGATGAGTTAATCAGAATCTGTCTCCGGGTCCCGACGGTCGGAATATTCATTTACGCGCGTCGACGGTTTTTAACGGCGCAGCTGCTCGGCCGCCAGCGGGGTGCGTGGGGGTAATGAACCGCCGTGGCGTCGCACTCACCGGGCCTGGTCTGCGGCCGTGCCCAGGGTGGCGTTCAGCGTCCGGGTCCCGCCGCGGACCGGGCTGCGGGCGAAACTCCCGTCCGCCGGCGACTGGGCGCCGGCCGGCCACCCGGCTGACCTCCCGCGCGCCCCGAGCCAGGGGCGGTCAAGGTCACCGCCCGGGGCACACGCACGGGCACGTGTAGAGGTGGGTCGGCCGCTCCGCTCCGCTGGGGCAGCGAACGGTGTGTGAGATATCGAGAGTGCTGTTTTGATGCGGCACACGGAGGCTTTTTGTGCGCCACTTTTGATAGCAGTTCTCATGCGTCAATTTCATCGACCGGGCGATCAGTCAAAGCAATGGTTTTGTCATGTTATGCTAGGACCGGTAGCGCTAAGAATTTGTAATCTGCGAAGCTAGTGCTGGTCATAATGTCCTTATGCAGTCCAGTGTTACTGGCCGGCATTTTGTTTAAACGTATGGTTCACAGCGACATGTGAGAAAAAATGCCGCACCAATGACACATGTGCAGCTACAGCAGCTCATTGTGAACAGCAACAGTTCATTCACTTCCTTCCACGTGAATCACAGCGCCCCCGTTGGCGCTGGACTAATGACTCCCGCTGGCGTCACGAGGAAATCCATCAGGTCGGCAGCACGCAGCCGACTTAATGGATACATTGCGGTTCAGGGTGACGGGGGTCCGGCGGGGACAGGTGGGTGTCGCGTGGACTCTGACCCCACTGCAGCTGCTCCGTTCGAGTCGGGTGAACGTGCGCGCGCTGCACTGTGCACGCGGACTCCGGCCCGGCCCGACTCCGGCCGCCGCAGCCCGAGGCCCTGGCGATGGGCTGGGAACAACGACGGCGGTCACAGGGCCGGCGCGGACGCCGTGGAGGTCGGCCGGCCGGCAGGCGCCGCGGGGCCCACCGCGACGGCTGCAAGGGTAGCGTGGGGACCGGGGCTAAATATGCCAGCGAAACGCAGCGAAGCGTTCTGGTGTTCTTAGGATAGGTGCATTTGTATCCCGGATTTGAGATTCGGATGGGTGCGAGCATATCTGAATCCATACATTGAAATATCGAGCTCGACCATGGTTACAATGATGCAATCAATAGGTACAATATAATGAAATGGAAAACGGGTGACCCAGTCCGATACCTAACCGACATATACATTTTTTTACTTCGTTAGTTTTAAGTAAATGCGATCGTGGATGATAGCTAACACATTGAATTGCATCTTTAAACGATGGCTTTCAAGGTTTGGTAACTTCATGTTACGGCACGAATTCTCGTTTTTAGAATTGGAGAATTCGCAGGATCCGATTTTCGTCGTCAGTTCGAATCCCACCAATCACGATCCTCAGCTCTAACGCGCACCCACGTGTGGCAAACCGGTAATGAGTCGGTCAACCCATGTGTGATCCATCACCAGCGGGCCCGGAAGGTGAGGCAAAAGACGAGTGTATCGGACATGGTGTGTCGGCGTAATGGAAACACGAAATGAAAAACAAGACACAAGGAAACCTAACCATTCTGGGCCATCGACAGGCACAAAAACCGGCGCTTATTCCGAGCGTTGGTGCGTGCACCTCGTTTTGGAGAAACACGCTCTGAGCTATGGTGTTGAAGGCGACGCATCTTTGCCGGACCACTTGAGCGAGGGGTCGGGATGCTCTTCTCTGGAGCTCACTGTCCTGCAGTCTGGAGTCTTCTGAAATGCATTCCAGCAATTCAAGCCGTCAGCTCCCACTGTGACATGATCCCAGAGCTGCCCTGCTGTCATGTGCGTGTGGCATTCCTTGCACGTTACAGTGTGCTTCTCGTTTTTGGAGGCTGTTGAGTAGTCGAGTGCACAAACAGCCGCAGCCCGATGCGTTATTAGGCGCATGAAGAGCAGCGTTGCTTTGAAATGAAAAGAAAAGATATGGGAAAGGAGCTGACAGCCCGCACACATTTTGGAACAGTTAGTGCATCGAACGAGGGGCATTGATATACCAAGGAGTCATGCTGACAAACGTGATGGAGGCTGGAGGTCCACGAGCGACGACCTAATTTTGAACTGCAACAGTGACATGCCTCGTATCGTGTTAAAGTGCTAACGATATTTGTGACCGTCCGAAACGAATACATAAAGCTCAGCTGAGGGTTCAAAACGTGAGGACTGACGAGAAAACGTTATGTATTCTTTTCATGCGTTATCACTAGTGCGAGTACTACCGCGCGTTCTCGCATCACCCTGTTTTTTTATCATTCACGGCTCCTGTCGTTGGCCAGGAAATATACATACAATGTCATGCAACTTGACATGAACGTGATAACACCTGTAGTCAGCGACAATGGATAAAACATTTCGACTCTCGACGCGCATTACTGAGCATGATCACAAACATGGTAAGCACATTAAAAAAGCATCGGCGTTTGTTCTGGCCCTCGATCGCAGCAAGACAATCAAGCCACAGTGGTGAGAGCGAATGAAGTTCCAGTGGTAACGTTGGTTGGACCCTGCCGGACCTGAGCCAAGGGTCCGACCGGACCTGAGCCACAGGCCCGGCCGGACCTGAGCCACGGGCCCGGCCGGACCTGAGCCACGGGCTCTGGCGGACCTGAGCCACGGGCCCGGCCGAACCTGGGCCATGGGCTCGGCCGGACCTGAGCCGGGCCGGCGGCGGCGGCGGGAGCGGCAGCGGCGGCGGCGGCGACGGCGGCGGCGGCGGCGGCGGCCGCTGCTGACCGCACGGTACCGTCCGTCACGGCGCCGGCCGTATTAATACGCCGGCGCCCAGAGTGGTGCGTCAGTAGTGGAGCGCGCCCTCCGGAAGTGGAGGAGTGCCGGGCCAGCTCCAGCAGACGGCAGCGCGCGGCGCCGGCATGGCACAGCACGCCTAGGCCAGAGTGACACCATGGCTCCCGTCTCCCGGAGGGGTCTGGCTCCGCTGGCCGCTGTCAGGTCAGTCTGCCGGCGCTGCAGGGGAGTCTCGACGCGATGGACGCCCTGGGGTGACACGGGGGTCGGGCGGAGGGCCCTGGCAATGTGTCCTCAGCTGGATCGGGGACCACCAGAAAGCTTCAGCTCAGTAGGAGTGGATTTAAAATTCAGTCGTTTGTATTGCTGTCGAAATGAAAAAGGCGTTTCACATGTTGCATGTCGTGCTGTACCGACGCATGGGACAACTGGTACCTACGGATCTTTACGCATTTACCTTCTGCATCTGCAAATGAGCGCGGAAAAAAAACATCGATGCATCCCTTCTGAATGTCGCAATTCAGAAAGATTTATGGGGGACGGATGGAGCTGATCCAACCAAGACCCGTTATCAGCGTATAGCACCCGATCTAATTAACTTCTCTGGGTATGTTACACGTCGGCGGCTGTTTGTTACCACTCCCGTTAACACGCGCCCGGGTAGTCGGTTGGATAACCTTCGCTCGGGTGCGGGTCAATTTGATCCCCCGCTGAGATCTCAGAAACCAAGAGGGCTGAAGATACCACATGCACAAGGCGTATTGACCTGGACGTGAACTCATTTATGTAAAAGTTAGAGGCTTCTAGGTTATGACCTTCGGGCCAAATAAGGTCAAACAAGGTCACATTCCAGGCTGGTCTTCAAAGGGCTCTTAGAACCTAAATAACTGTTCTAAGCAAAAGTTCGCATGCTCATCTAAGGTCAGTGACCTTGTTTGACGTTTTGAAGGTCAAAGTGACCAAAATCATACAAGAACGCTTTAAGTTTTGCATTTGAATGAGTGACAAAGATTACGCTAGGCAGTATGTTCCTAAAAACAAAATGTTTAACTGGGTCCTTTCAGGTCAATGACCTGTTCTGGCCCGTAAGAAGTCTATGGAAGGTGTATAATGCGGTTGCTGTTGTCAACAAACTAGAAATGTGCACCAGGAACTACCCCATAGAGCAAACTCTAGAGAAATAAAACAGGCTGGTTTTTACCTTGTTCTGATCTTCATACCCGACCTTAGGTCAATATGATTTGGTCATTCAATTGCTGTTTTGCCTAAGAAAGTATCTCTAGAGATGAGATGCATGGCTTCCTCTAACATTCCGTTGTTTCATCAGATTAAACGATTCCCTTAAAATTGACTACGCTGAATCCCTGACCTGACTTTGACCCGCCACAAGCCAGCGACCTTACAAGGTACATCCAATTTTTGATAACATACGATCCGCCATTCAATTGTCTACAGCTGTGAAAAATTTGGCGCGGCTGCGCCGCGCCGTTCGGAAACCATTCCGGAAAAAACCTTTGGGTGGGGAATTTGACCCCCACCCGAGCGCGTATTAGCATATATCCGGTATTTGTAAAAGTCTCAAAACTTTATTCAAACAGCCAGCATCTGTTTGGCACTTAGAAAGCTTCGGTAGATATTAATAAATAATTTTTTGACTGAGTCACAGTCACACGAGCTGTTGTAGGTGAGATGATGTCGGAGGGAAGTCCTGAACGGTGTTCAGCAAGCAGGTCAGCTGGGCGCGGATGACGTGATCTCAAACGCCTCGACACCTCCAGACGTTGGGAAGACGGCGAACGCACTGTGTCCTTGACTTCAAGACTAGCATTTTGTGACATGTTTCTGATACACGCATTTTGTGGGTTGCCATAAGTGGCTTCCACCTACCGACACACGGATATGCGTATTTGGCAGTCAAAAGGCAATGCGTTAACAACATTTGAAATATGCATTCCGTTTTCTTGTCTTCCTCGTTCACGGAGGAAAGACGTTGTTACGCTGTTATATATTTCGTTATGCAGAGGCACACGAGGTAGGATAACCTCCATTTTCCTCGGTTTTGCACTGCTTAATATCCATGGGTCGTTGCCCTCCTGGCATGCACATTACATGAAGATCTAGTAACACATTAGCATTCATTGCACACATTCACGTGGCGTTCCAACACGCTGGCGCCGCTCACAGAGCGGGTGAAGTGAAATATTTCTCCCACATGCAGTTAAACTGTTCAGTCGCCGTCACCCATGTCAGCGGATTTACCAAAACTATGCAACCGCTTAACCGTACTGTCGGCGAGTTTGCGCACTAACACCTATCGCAGCTGGTCAGTGCCTACATAAATTTTTTGATGATTGCCTGTGTTTCCCAATGAACATGACCACGTGTGTGGAACGTAGCTGCGTTAACATAATTCACGAACCATATGCGAGTACCGGGGGATGCATTGCCCTACAAGATTGTGATCTCTTGAATGGGCGTTATTCGGTCCAGCCTTTTTGACCCGCTGCTCATTGTCAGCGATCTAAATGCGACTTCATGTAGTGACTGTCGATGGCGAGTTTCGCTTCATTTTCGCTGATGTTTGCAATAAGACTGAGATGGGCAGCGGTGTTTCTTGGAAGAAGCCCCAGGCTAGGCGTGCGGTAGTTCCGGATGATTGAATAAATTGGAAGGCTTTCATGTTACCAGTTCACCATAATTCAACTAAATGTTATCACCAAAATGATATCTCAGAAAAAATCAGCCGACGCATGCCGCCCGAGTGACGCAGTGAACCTGTTATCTTTTCCTCCACCCAGCTCCGCGCGGTCTACATTCCGCCAAAAGGCTTAAGCGTCCCAATTATACTTGAGTCGTTAAGTTGTGACCGACACTCGCAGAAATCGCCTCGAACAAACGTTGAGTACCACATCCACGGGGCCAGGGACACCGTTTGCAGCCAGCAGTCATGACTCCTTGCTAAAGGGTTCGTTGCCCATTGCGGCATCGCCGCCGCTCTGGTTACCGCAAACGTGGTGGCACTGGCCGCTCGCGCGAGTGCCCTGCTGGCTCAGGCGCCTCCCTGCGGAGAGGGGGGGGGGGGGGGGGGGGAGTCTGGGTGGTGGCAAACCGACGCCAATTACCGCACCCAGCCGCTGAGGCCTCTCGGATGTCTGCGGTGGCTGACACGCTTCAGGAGCGGCGGCTGGGAGGCGAGCTTAGAGACAGGCATGAGCTACTCTACCGGCTCCGCATTCAGCCCGTGCTAATCACCAGGTGTGGAATCTTAAAATAGCCCTGGGAATACTCTGCCATTTGGCCCTAAACTTGCATGAACCACTGGCGGAAGACCATCGGAACGTCATATGGCCTGATTCAGTGTGGCGAGAGGAAGGTTTACGTCACGCTTGGTCCAGGGCACGCCGCCGTGCACGGTGTCGCGCGAGGAAACCTGCCGCTACACCTGACCCATAGAGTCATCTCTGACGGTAGTCGGCTCGGTACAGTTTAAACCTATCAGAAACTTCTGTTTAAAACTTCAATTTCAAAGTTGCCAAGACAGCGAACAATGTTGCCATCCGCGTGCCGCTCGATTGCATATCCACCAGTTGCGGGAAGACAGAGTGTAGACCAGAGCAAAGCGACCAGCGGAACTCAAATACCAATGTAGCGGTGGTTCGAAAAAAGGGCTCTTACGCGACAGTTTATCCGTGGCGTCGCATAACTTATAGCGTGACGAATGGTGAGCGAGGGACAGAGCACCAAATAACATCTCACTACCAGCTCCGCACACCAAAACGGTGACAAATCAGTGGGACAGTTGACTAACCAACTGCTATAAGGTCGCAATGGCCATCCCCACGCTAACGCAGCCAAATAAAACGTACCTACGGCGAAAAGGCAGAGTTTGTCTGCGGCTTCCGGGCCAAAGCTTTCCCGCCTTGGAAAAGCGATACCAAAGCGCAGTCTTGCTCAGCGAGTAGGTCACCCGGGCGCAGAAAAAAGCTTTGCTGATGACGATGTGAGCTCAAAGTTTCTGGAGAAGCAGCGTGGAGAGACAGTGACCTGCCAGTCTGTGGATATCAACCAAACTTCAGAAAGGGCTGCAAACTGCCCATTGGAGATCTCAGCAGCCTGGAACCATCAGGGTTGCCGTCACACAGCTTGGTGGTCAAGCGAGACGTGCTCATCATGATGGGAGCGATGCCATGGTCTTCATCACAAGATTTCCGCTCGTCCCATCTGGTATGCCCTTCGAGTTCCTTGGAGGGTACGTGACTCCATGGACTGGTCACTGGTCAAACAACGATTCAGTTGAACGAGACGACCCGTCTCGTGTCGAGATCTTCAGGGGGTAATCTGAGACTGGTGTGTAACTGCAGAATGCGTGTTACCGTTTGCTCTTGGTTTCTCTGAACTTAAATCCCTGCGGATGCAATAGATTTGACATTGCATTAACTGTATTGCTGGAGCAAATGATTTGAGCCCGGCAATTTCATTTGAACATGTCCCACTATTCAATACAAATGCAACTACACATGATATCCACGACACAAGCCAGATCAATGTTCGATCGCAAACTGCGGCTATCTCAAATCAAATAGTTATTTTGCACGATATATTTCATGATAACTCCGGCACCGCCGGGCATCCCAGCTGGTGCGCATCAAATTGATTCGCATTATGGCTACACAGCAGCTGGTAAACCGATACATTGGCGGTACACTGAAGCACCCATCGAACAACAAACACCTTGGTCTGGTCAACACTAAGAATAAGCCACCACGCAGCCCATTCATTGTAGGGTCGGAGACTACTCTCCCGGGTGACCGGGCCGCGGTCACCCCCTCAGTGTACCGGGCCGGCCGAGCCGGACCAGCGAGCTGGCGCGACAGCCGGCAGCGGCTCGCCGATCGCTCAGGCCGCCGCCAGCCACCTCCGCAGGGGGGCAGCGACGCTACCCGGCACGGCAGTTCCAGCCCGTCACGGGAGGGCGGCGGGGGTGATCCGTCAACCAGCCATCCCAGAAAACAATGCGGCCGGCAGTCGGCGCTAAAAACTGCCGGCGCCGGAGTCGCGGGGGCAAAGACACCTGGATGACGGGGCGGCTCTTCACGGTCCGCTTCGGCTGCCGACGGAATGGGCTGCCGCATGCAACCTGCGCCGGGCGATCACCGCGTCCGTCCTCAGGCGCCGGGTGCCGGCGCGTCCGGTCCCACCGTGTCCGGTCCTATGGTGTCCGACACCGCGTACCCAGTACCACGGCGTCCGGTACCAATGTGTCCAGTACCATGGCGTCCGGTTCCAGTGTATCCAGTACCGTGGCGTCCGTCCCAGTGTGTCCAGTGTCATGGCGTCCGGTCCCAGTGTGTCCAGTGCCGTGGCATCCGGTCCCAGTGTGTTTAGTGCCATGACATCCGGTCCCAGTATGTCTAGTGCCATGGCGTCCGGTCCTAGTGCGTCCAGTGTCACGGTGTCCGGTCCCAGTGCGTCCAGTGTCATGGCGTCCGGTCCCAGAGTGTCCAGTGCCGTGGCATCCGGTCCCAGTGTGTCCAGTACCATGGCATCAGGTCCCAGTGTGTGTCTAGTGCCATGGCGTGCGGTCCAAGCCTGACCGGCGCCGAGCCGGCCGTGCGGACCGCGACGCTGGCGGGCGTGTGCCACCGCCGGGCGCCTGCCGTCTGTCACGGCTCCGTCCACGCCGCTCCGGCGCCGCAACCGTGCCGGCAGCGGTCGACTGCGGTCGGACGGCGGCCGGCGGCGCCGCGGGAGCCGCCGGTCACAATGGCCGGCGCCGAGTGGGCCGCGGCGTCGCCCTGGCAGCAGCGGCGACGCTGGCGGCGGCCGGCGGCGCCCGCGCGGCAGGTCGGTCACCGGCGGTCGCACCGGCGGAAACGATGCAGACGGAGACACGCGGACCGGCCGGCACGAGCCGCCCGGGGACCGCCCGGGGGACCGGAACTGCACGGCGCCGGGGCCGGTCTGGGCGCCGGTGAGAAGCAGATCCGCCGCGTGCCGCCGCTTCAGACGGCGCGGCTCGGCGTCGTCCGGTGCTGCGGGATCGGGTGTCACGAGCCCCCTCTCGGAGCCGGGCGGGGCACTGCCGGGATGATGTCACTTAGTGACTTCTCCACCGGACTGAGCGTCGCGACCGTGTCACGATACTCAGCCCGATGGAGACGTGGGCGGTGGATGCAAGCCTGCCTTGTTCCAGGACTGGCTCGATTATGACGTCAGTGTTTTATGCTAGTGCAACACTTTGGGTTCACAGTGGACTGTACACAATGCATCGTGCATTGCATGGTTAGGCACTCAACCGTTTCTTGGAGCTGAGAGCATCGTATCAGAAGGAGGATGCTTAGTGTGTGTGTGTGTGTGTGTGTGTGTGTTGGTGTGTGTATGTGTAGGGATTAACTGAAATGTTTACAAGGAACTCCGTGTTCACACACGCGAGTGAAATGCCTTAAGGTTATCATCCTTCATCCTTCGCCAGGATGAAGATTGTGACGGAAACACTGGCATTATATTGGCGATGTGTCGTCTCAGCATGTTCGACGCCGGACACTACACATCTGCTGTCTATGTATTGGGGTTTCCATTACCTGTCTGTTGGGCAGCCCTTCGCCTTTTCGGCTCTTCGGAAGCATCTCTCAAAAGTGTGCAGAGGTCATTATGCCACTTCAGCTAGTTGAGCTCCGAACTTTTTGAACTTTTTATCTTAAAGCTGGGATTTTTTACATGTCAAGTCACCTGGCTTCGGCCACGTTTTCGGTGGTTTTCATGACCAAACACGGCAAACCGTCGCCACATGGAATTCCCGTATTTTTCCTTAGCAGCTCTGTAGGTATGATATTCACTTAAAATTCATGTTATTTGTGCCTGTCGTCATTATGGACGGTACGAGACCACACCAGTGATATGAAGTATTGAAGTTAACGTGAAATTAGTCCACGGGATTATTATACGAGCCAAAACCGATACATCTTGATGGTGCCGTAAGGAGTACTAAATGCCAAGTATGGGCGAGTCAACTCTTGAAATTATTCAATGAAATGCGAGGAAACCTCTCCCTGTACTCCTTCGTGCATGTAGGCTCCACGTATGAAGCATCTGGGTCGATTGTCATAAAAGGTCAAGAGCGACTTAAGATTACCTCACACTTTGTCTTGGAGACAAATTATGCGGATCTTTTAAACCAGCTTTATTCAGCGCAAAATGTTAGAGGCCAAAAAAATATTTGACTTTGTTTTACATTACCTATCATGTAACCTTCAATATTAAATTTTTAAGGTATAGGTATCTGCTTATACGTTGCAGGCGACATACAAGGTTATCACGGTGCATTCGCCATTTTAAATCAAGCAGATACATCGAATGAGAAATCAGCACCTGGACCGTCCTCTATATTTTTCCAATAGTATCAAAACCACCAAAATCTGGCAAATAGTTGAAAAATGCCCGGAAAAACACGCTTCCAGAAACCACGCAGAAATCTTCGGATTTCCAATTCGATAACAGTATAGTTATGTCATGATTAAACGTGTTCGCTGTTTGGTCGTGCTGCAAACGGCTTGTTCGATATAAAGAAACGTCCACAATTTCAAACTTCTGTTTGAGGAGATGCTTAGAGATATAAACATGTCTGCAGGCATTATCAAAACCTTTGTGGACTTTTTAGAACGTTCCGGATAACAAGCTTTCTTGAAAACGACAAAAGGTAAAACGTCCGATGAAAAAGACCCACTAGGCCCGACACATGCAATGGAATGCCCCTTTGCTAACACTTAGCTCAGAACACACACAATGCTGTCGATAGAGATGTTCTTCTCGCAGCCTGTTCAAGCGAGCTGTGTTCTCCTCGTAGCTTGTTCAGCCTAGCTATGCTCTCTTCGCAACTTGTTCAGCCGAGCGGTGTTCTCGCAGCTTCTTCAACCGGGCTGTGTTCTCCTCGCAGCTTGTTCAACCGGGCTGTGTTTTCCTCGCAGCTTGTTCAACCGAGCTGTCTTCTCCTCGCAGCTTGGCCGTGCTGATCTCCAGTGGACACTGCCTGTTCAACCTGCGGCCGCTGCTCGGCAAGGAGTACTCCCGGCCGATCCTGGACGACCTGGACAACTCCGTCGACCTGACGTTCCGGGACGACCTCCTCGGCGATGTGGTGCGCGTGGCTACGGAAGAGGTGGAGGACCTCCGCCGCAGCGACAGCCAAGGTGATCGCCACGTTTACCCCACCTGGCCCGCACAGTGCCGGCCAACTGGCTTCACTATGTGACGCAGAGTCCTGTGGGTCCGATGATCCTCGTGTCAGCCGCAGGACAACATCGAAGGATCTGCCGAAAGCGTCCGCTATTGTACAGTTACCGCACTTTGATTCTGGGGCAGGACAATAAGCCATCTACCAACAAGGCAGGCGAGTCCATTTGACGTCCCAATTACTTGACGACAGGGATTTACATACAGACATTGGCAATTACAGCGCCGCCAATAAGCCAGACGCGCTGGAGACGCCTCACATGGTGACGTTGTGCCGCCCCTCAGCGGGCGCGTTCTCATGCGGCTGCTGAACTTTAGCGGCGTCTCGCCCCACCACTGCCGCCGATATGGGAGCGCCTCGCTTTACGAGCATGTCGCCGCCGTTCCGCGGAGCCGGCCGGCCGGGCCGTCGTCCGACGGCCGGCCGCTGGTTCCCGTCGTAAAGTGTGAGCCCGCGGCAGGCCGGCGACGCCGCGGGGGCGTTGGCGGACGGCGTGCCACGGCTCGGGCGACACGTGGCGCACGTGCCACGTGCGTGAAGGGCGCCTTGCGCGGACCATCGGCGCACGACCGTGGCACGGCTTGGCTGATTGGCGGCGCTCGTGTCGGCAGCCGGGGCAGAGCAGGACATCCGGTACACGTCGCGCCTGCACTCCATGCACCGGCGTCCCCTGCCGGAGGTGAAGAATGACTCGTACTTCGCTCTGACAGCAGTGCGGGCCACCAAGCTACTTCAGGAAAGGTGGGAGTGGCGACGAACCGCGGGGATCAAAGTCTTGAAAGCGGAGGAGGCGTATAGACGGGGGTTGGGCGGCCAGAAGGAGCGCAACAGTGGGCTTACAGAAGCCAAACCATTTATGTTTCCGGCTAAGCCTGATCAACGACTCTCCGTTGTCTCCGTTCACGCGCCGACCAGCCTCAGTCCGAGGCCAAGGTTCTGCCATGTGGTCGCCGGACAATCAAGCTGGCGTGATCTGACAAGGGACCAGTGTGGGAGTTTGGTCGGGACGCTTTTGGACGAGGCTCGCGCCAATTTTCAGTAATTGCTGGGCACCGCAATAATGACCGGGAGGGCTTCCCGGTCTGGGGTCGCGCGGTCATCCTATTTATATTTGTCTCGACAGGCTGGCATTGTCCGGGGAGGACGTCATGTTTCGTCTGCCGCTCTATGACCTGAGGCTGACCCGGCTCGGCAACCTCTGCCCTCCGCATCACGGCGTTGAGTACCCCAGCTGCGATCTCAACAGCAAGTACAGGAGTGTCGACGGCACCTGCAACAACGTCAAGTTCTCGTGGTGGGGCAGTGCCAAGTCGGCTTTCGTGCGGCTACTTCCACCGGACTACGGCGACAGTGAGTGTGCTGTCAATGACGCAAGTGAATCAACTTTCCAAATATTGATTGCAAAATGTAACGTGTTATGCGAGTTTGAGAAAAGCACTGGCGGCTTCATCGCCCCAACATTGAGTGATGCCTATCGACTCTGTCTCTCCCTTTCGAGGCTTGGTGCGAAAAATAAACTTTTGTAACCCCAGCGTGCAACCGAAGGCAACTGACATGGTGGCGATGCCGTGAGCGACATCACAGCTCATGCGGGTGACGCATCATGGCAGAACCGATAGTGTCAACCTTTCCTCCTACTCTGAGGACAAATCTAATATGAATTAGATGCAAGTCAAGCGTAAAAAAGCCACGCCTCTCAACGTTCTGCTACATCTCCGATTCTTCGAAGCTGAGATAATCTCCACTACTGCACACATCAACGTGCATCTCATCCATCACAGTGACACACCTAAAAGTGGCAATAAATAAGGCCGTCTGTTCTGGGGCTTCCCGGGTTCTCCGACCCTGCTCAGGATTCAGTCGGTACCGCTCACGACGACACAATCCAGCTTGTAGCACCGCACCTCCACACGGGCTGGATCGGTACCAGAGCGCGCGCGAGACGCAGTCCATGAGCCGCCGCCTTTTTGTGCTCAGCTGGTCCGCCAGACGCACGCCCCTGCACCGTTACTCCCCGCTTAATGAGCCAATTAGAAGCCGTGTGTTTACGCGCATAACTCGCTCGATGCGCCGCGCTTCCCATCCATTTTTCACGCGGTGGCCGGGCCGGGTGCGCCGCTGTCAGTGGGCCGGGTTTTATGGGGCCTAATTGTTGCGGCGTGGCGCTGGCTCGCTTGCGGTGACGAGAGACGCGCCGTCGGCCGGCGCCCGGCGCCTGTCACCCGGCGCTGGCCCGCTCTCGGTGACCAGAGACGCGCCGTCGGCCGGCGCCCGGCGCCTGTCGCCCGGCGCTGGCCCTCTTGCGGTGACCAGAGACGCGCCGTCGGCCGGCGCCCGGCGCCTGTCGCCCGGCGCTGGCCCGCTCTCGGTGACCAGAGACGCGCCGTCGGCCGGCGCCCGGCGCCTGTCGCCCGGCGCTGGCCCGCTCTCGGTGACCAGAGACGCGCCGTCGGCCGGCGCCCGGCGCCTGTCACCCGGCGCTGGCCCGCTCTCGGTGACCAGAGACGCGCCGTCGGCCCGGCGCCCGGCGCCTGTCGCCCGGCGCTGGCCCGCTCTCGGTGACCAGAGACGCGCCGTCGGCCGGCGCCCGGCGCCTGTCGCCCGGCGCTGGCCCGCTCTCGGTGACCAGAGACGCGCCGTCGGCCGGCGCCCGGCGCCTGTCACCCGGCGCTGGCCCGCTCTCGGTGACCAGAGACGCGCCGTCGGCCGGCGCCCGGCGCCTGTCGCCCGGCGCTGGCCCGCTCTCGGTGACCAGAGACGCGCCGTCGGCCGGCGCCCGGCGCCTGTCGCCCGGCGCTGGCCCTCTTGCGGTGACCAGAGACGCGCCGTCGGCCGGCGCCCGGCGCCTGTCGCCCGGCGCTGGCCCTCTTGCGGTGACCAGAGACGCGCCGTCGGCCGGCGCCCGGCGCCAGGAAATGCCCGGGCGTCAACACGCCACGGAACCACCACCGACGGGATCCTTCCGGAATTTGCCCAGTTGCAGTTCACGGAAGCAGACCCCCCTTCCCCTAACGTATTGGGGAGTGGAACGCTTCGGGGGCCCGGGTAACGGCGGCCGTTTCCTCTGCATGTTCCGCAGGTGGCACGTCGGAAATTGTCAGGCGCTGGGGTGGTGTGTACAGCCAGAGGGTCGCAGTGCGCTAGGTGGCGGTCCATGGCAGACTGATTTGTATGTTAAGCGATTTATTAAATATGAATCCCAACACCCTGGGGTTTGCTTACTTAACTTGCTTTTTTGCTCTGCACAATCATGCAACAGATTACGCGCTCAACAACATGAAACGTCGTCGTTTCCTTCCACTTCCACTGAATGGCCTTTCTTTTGCTCATTTTTGCACGACATACAGGAGCGACGATTGCTCATTGTACATTTGGACGGTTGGTTCAATAAACACGAACTGTCTGCCAAAAAAGAAAAACATTCGCAAACCACTTTGCTGCGGTCTGCATAAACTCTGTTATCCTGATGCAAATATGGGCCGACTTCCCTAAATGTGCCAGTCTAATTTACTTCAGAGGTGGACAGTCCACGGTCAGAGGGCGTGTGTGACTGACGCTGTCCTGCCGCAGAGGTGGACAGTCCACGGTCAGAAAGCGTGTGTGACTGACGCTGTCCTGCCGCAGAGGTGGACAGCCCACGGTCAGAGAGCGTGTGAGACTGACGCTGTCCTGCCGCAGAGGTGGACAGTCCACGTGTCTCGCGGGACGGCGCCGCGCTGCCCAGCTCGCGCCGCGCCAGCGCCGCCTGCCTGTCGCAGCGGTTGGTGCCGGCTGGCCGCTCCGAGCGCATCTCGCTGATGGTGATGCAGTGGGGCCAGTTCCTCGACCACGACCTCTCCCACACGCCGATGAACACAGGTACGCGTCGAGCCGAGCGGCGCCGGCGCCGGCTAGTGACGGCGCCGGTTGGTGGCGGCGTCGGCTAGTGGCGGCGCCGGCCGGTAGCGACGCCGGCTGGTGGCGACGCCGGCCGCTGGCGTCGCCGGCTGGTGACGGCGCCGGCTGGTGGCGTCGCCGGCTGGTGGCGGCCCCGTAGCGGACCGACACCAAACCGTGCCGCCTGGCTTGCCGCGCGCTGCGTCTCGGCTGCACACGTGCGAGAGCTGCCGGCTCTCGGGATGTCACTCGGGCAGATGAGAGGAGGGGGAAGGGGGGGGGGGGGCGTCACGACGCAGACTGTCATGATGCCATGGCGATGGTGTCGTTGTGACAAGCCGCGTGACTTTCTACCAGTTGAGTTTCGGTATTCTCCGCTGCGATTGGCAAACAAATCTGACGTATTGAGTGCATTGTGAAGACCCAACTGCTGCTATTTTCCCTCAGTAAGCGGGCCGCTGGGTCGCATTCTACCGTCACCGCACCCTTGATGACCGCAGCAACGCCGTCCTGTGCCGCGAGCGGCATCGCGCAGATCTCTGCTCGACTTGGCTGACGGCGGCGCCGGTTTCAGCGACGCTGTACGGGAGTCCGATCTCGTGCTGCTCGCTGCCGCCGCAGCTGCAGCACCCAGACTGTTTCCCGATCGCGATCCCGCGGACGGACAGCCTGTACCGGCAGTCTGGCCAGAGCTGCATGGAGTTCGCCCGCTCCGTAGCCGCCGTCCACAACGGCTGTGGTCTGGGTGAGTCGAACGCGGCGCCCGCGCCACCTGCCGATGGGCTTAGAGGGAAGGGGAGCACGGCATGGGAGGCCTGAGAAGCGAAGAAGGTGTCCCTTCAAATCAAGGGAACTTCGTAATGGAAAAACACGCCTCCAAAGTCATACTATTGCACGGTGTCGATTTATTCCATGTTAATTAGTACACAGTACCACCCAAAATCTCTCGAAGTGAATGTCAGTGCTCCTATTCTGCTTGCACGCACACAAACGTCCCGGGCACCATAAAGAACCATGTAATCTGACACATCCTATCACATTACTGCATATCGCCGCAGCGCTACTGAGAGGTTCAGCACATTAAGGAAAGAACATCAATCGCGTGTTGATTTTAAGCGCGATAAGATCAGGCCGTGTGGTAAGAAACGCCTCCGACGTCGCACACGGGTACGTGGATGCACAAAATGAATGCGTAAAATGCATGGCTAAATCCGCTGAATAAGTATCATGTACAGTGATTCTCCAAATGACTGAATACATGAATGGGTACAGATAAAGCGTAAAATAATGCAAGTGTGGCCTTCGATTTGCAGCATATGCGAACGCAAGTCTGGATAAGAGAAAGCTCCGAGTCAATTTCGCGCTCGACGCTTTTGAAGGGCGCGTCTAGCGTCTGCTACAATGACCAAACGTGAATGATGCTCTCGTTGTAATGAAGGGAGGACACATTTTCACGGCCGTGAGGACAAGAACCGTTGTTTGATACTACGTCGGCTGTGTGATGGCTAGAGGGTGGCGCCTAGTGCCTATCGCATGACATAACGAGCTCATAATTGGATTGGATGTCATAAAGAATCCGGTTACGGGCTCATTTTGTCATGGTTCTCACTCAAGCTCTTCTGTCCAGCGGTAAAGAACTTGGCAGGTCTAGTTAATGGATGGCAGAAGTGGTATAAAACACGCTACAAAGACAAGGCTCCATCACGACGTGCCACAGCGTATATGGTCTCATAGCGCCGATAGCGTCCCGGACACCAGGCGACGTGGCTGACGGTGGCCGGTGGCTCCAGGGCTTCATAGAACGCCCGAACCCGAACTCTGCCATCTGCGTCTGCCGTCACGTTTGTTGACAAAATCACTTCGCTGATATGCTTGGCGTTTCAAGGAAAGCACGAATTTGTCGCAAGGTGTCACCTCGGTGTCATCATCTGCATTGGTATCCAATTGGAGCGATGAGTGTCGCGCCCTATATATGTATATATATATATATATATATATATATATATATATATATATATATATATATATATATATATATATATGAATATGTGGATGCATATAAGGCGCCACATTCGTCGTTCATGCGTGGGAATCCTGCAGCTAGATGATTCAAGATGTCTCATTACTTCATTCCGACCAACAGGTCCCAGAGAGCAGGTCAACCAAGTTACGTCATTCGTTGACGGCTCTGGCGTCTACGGAAGTTCTGACGGTGAACTGCAGCAGCTGCGGCAATACGAGGGGGGCAAGATGAAAATGACCGGTTCTCTGCTTCCCACTACTGATGGCGACGGTAGCTGCATCCGACAGAGGACCGATGTCAAGTGCTTCCAGGCCGGTGAGCTGCCTGGAACAAGTGATGCTGATAAGGCCCTTTGCACCACCAAAATTCCTTCCAGAAAATACAATCTTAATTTCAGTTTGCTGGATTGTCACGGCATACTGGGCAAGATACAAAGACTGTCCGAAATCCGTTCTGATTACCAGAAGTAGGCAGTGCTTTCCTTGTGCAGATTTTACTAATTCTCTCACCTTAAAATCGCTTCGTTTCAAATTGCGTCCATATTCAAAGTTATGCTGGCGAATATTAGCGTCAGTTACCCTGACTATGAGAGCAACTCCCGCTGCAACAGATTGTAGGACAAACAGTCGGGAGGAAAAGGCACCACTTTCGAAGTGGCCCTCTGAGGTCCGTTCCCAGACACTAATTATTCGTGTGGGAATGAGTTAACGCCCAGCTTTTAACAGGCAATCACAGCGTATGAAAGCACCTGTTTTCCTTCAGTTAAGCTTCAGCGCAGGCTCAGTTTGTTTAGTTTTGATTCCATAGCTCACAAAGAGAAAAGATGGCACGCAAGTTCGAAAGCTTGTCCTATCGGTGCAAGGGAATATGGATTCTCGTGTACGTGACGGTATCAGGTCTACGCATTTCCGGCTCTAGTGATGAACAGAGTTACATAGCTATCTTATGCGCAACAGCCTCCACTTCCACCACCAACGTAATGCAGCGTTTTAGCGCGTTGGCCTTCCGCTGGGCCCTCCAGCGTTGCGAGGCAGTCTCCGCTGCTAGACCTCATCTGGCCGTCACAGTCCTCAGTCTGCTCTCCAGCGTTGCGAGGCAGTCTCCGCTGCTAGACCTCAGCTGGCCGTCACAGTCCTCGGTCTGCTCTCCAGTGTTGCGAGGCAGTCTCCGCTGCTAGACCTCAGCTGGCCGTCACAGTCCTCGGTCTGCTCTCCTGGCGGGAAACGTAATGATGAGAGTCTCGTCCGGACTGCGGCGTCCGCGGCTCTGACTCTGACTCTGCGTCAGGGTCAGGCTCTGACTCTGACTCTGCGTCGCTCAGGTGACATCCGGGTGAACGAGCAGCCCGACCTGACCACGCTTCACACGCTCTGGGTCAGAGAGCACAACCGAGTGGCCGGCAAGCTGGAACGATACTGCTCCGGATGGGACGACGAAAAATTATTCCAGGTGAAATATGGCGTTCGGAAGGGGGCAATTAAGGTGCGACGAGCCGGGCGACAGTCACGTCTCGAGCGCTCCGTGGCGTGATAGCCATCGGGTCATTAGCGTCAGCCGGCCGGCCGTTAATGCATGTGTGTGGAGGTCGGCGTCGGCGAGGCCGCGGGACGACCCGCGGTCTGCAGCCGCCCGAGCTCGGGTCGTTTCGAGAGTTCGCCGGGGTCCTGTGGCCGGGCGGCGCCGTCGCGGCTGACTCGCTCCTGTAGCCGGGCCGTGGTCCCCCAGGAGTCCCGCCGACTGGTGGCAGCGATGATCCAGCACGTCACCTACAGCGAGTGGCTGCCGGTCGTGTTAGGCGATGACCTCGTGACCCGACATGACCTGGCGCCGGCCAAGAGTGGGTTCTACGGCGGCTACAGCCCCAACGTGGACCCGACCATCGCCAACGTGTTCGCTACAGGGGCTATGAGGTGAGGGAGGTGTTTGGAACTTTAGCTTTTCCGAGGTCAGGGATGATCTCACGCGTTCAGGGTTTCTTTGTCGCAACGATGCGGAGCAGGACAATTGACAGTTTCAATCCAGCATTCAACAATCATGCACAGAACTGTCCAGTTGGTTTCAGTACAACGTGGAAAGTTCTTGATATTATTATCCAGCGCCAACAGCCAAGCACCAAGCCAACCTGGATCCAAAGCCGTCCAAGCCTGTCGCAGCCTTTCGGATAATGCGCACGGTGTGGACGTGGCCTGTTACCAGGCCGAGGGATCCGCCGGGCTGAGACGGGCCGTCCTCGCCGACAGGTTCGGCCACACGCTCGTGCCGGACCACCTGCTGCTGTTCACGCCCTGGCACACCAAGCTGGCCGGCGTCTCACTGCACAAGAGCTTCTTCCGGCCCCACTCACTCTACCATCCGGGCAGGATAGACGAGTACATGGCCGGTAGGTTGACGTGAGCCGCGCTGGATTTCCTGGATCCTGAATCCTGGATCCCATTACCGTGCCCGCCAGGCAGCTTTTCATTTAGACAGCCGTAACGTGCGGTTAGACCCAATTTCCGAAGGCATGGTCGGAAATGTCAGCGTAGATATATCGAGCTAAATTAGACGTCGTAAGACGTTACTGCGCTAGCTTGGAAGAACAACAGGTAGATATGTAAATATTTTGGACCGCCGGCAGCTAATGTGCCAACCATGCTCTTGTCAGGCTAAATACCACTTGGGCTTTCTCGTTAAATCTCCCGTCGAAGATTTAACGTAAGACTATTAAAATAATTAGAGGCCACGTAATTGTGCAGATCTAAGCAGAAAATACAGATGCCCATGAACATAGCTGTGATGACCGACCGGCGAAACGTCGTCTAGTCTTCCACAGTTTTCGTCGGAACTGAAGTTAGTTATTTACCATCGTTACCATGGTGCTTCTCAGTTTCTCACCATCGCCACCCCGGCCGTTCACTGCCACTTGCAGCTGCATTCCTGCAGAAGCGAGGCATTGTTATTTGGGGATGCATGGACCAATTACCGCCCGACCACAAGCGACCATTACATGGGATGCATCATTTCCGGCGCCGTGCTGCGTGCTTGGCCCCCGCCCCCGCGGAGGTCGGGTTCCCAGCTGGGCCCGCTCGTTACCGGGTGGAGTTTTCACGGCGTCTGTCGCGGACAGGCCTGGCCAACGCCAACAGCAGCGAAGCGGACAACTACCTGGTGGACACCATCAGGAACCGGCTGTTCGCGCCGCCGGGGCAGGCGTTCGGGCTCGATCTCGGCGCTCTCAACATCCAGGTGGGATGTAGTGCGATCTACGCCCCGTTCTCAGCGCACGGGCACCACGGCTCGCCCTCGCCCCGTCGCTGGTGTAGCTTTTGTTTAGCGCGATGGCGTTGAAGTTGGTTGGTTTAAGGGAGCTTCCCAGCGGCTTGTGAACAGCGCGGTGTAATTATGGTGTCGAGAACGGTTCCGCAGGCGCGGCCAGGCGGGCGAATCGCGGAGGGGAAATTAAATGGAACAAAGCCTCTGTCGGCTTTACTGATCGGCTTACGGACGTGCTGTGGACAGTTATCCACGACGCTGGCCGGCGCATTGACAGCGTGGTGGGGCGGGTGGATACGCCAATTGGCGACCATCCGCGTACAATGACCCGGCATGCCACCGGCCCCAATATGCACGTCGGCCTCATCAAGCACGCCCAAACCACGCGTCACGCTCGTAAAAATCCGACTCGACCACGACGGAGCCTGTCATTAGCTCCGTGACCTTCCGAAGCGCCTCGCACCACTAGCCATCAATGTCGGAGCGAAGCCGGAGCCGCGAGCGAAGACCCGCCCCGCACCACCGGCCTGAGATTCTGTCGCGGCCACCAGGACTGTCGCCGACCGGCCGACCGTGTGCGCCGCGAAGAGGATAGGGCGGTCAAGCCGAAGAACGTGACGGGGAGGCCTTCAGGGTTTTGACGCCGCCACTCGGGCCAAGCCCGCCCTCCGTCTCTGTCTCTCGCTCGGTAACCGTCCGCGGCGTCGCTGACCTCGTCTGACGTCTGCCGTTGACGGGCGCACCTCTGCCCTCCGGCAGCGCGGCCGGGACCACGGCCTGCCCTCCTACACGCTGTGGCGTCGGGCGTGCGGCCTCTCGCCCGAGGTGAACGCCTTCGCTGACCTCAAGGCCATCATGAGTCCTCGCGCTGTCGCCAGGCTCATCGCCACCTACACGTATGAACCCGCTTGGGGGGAGGGGGGGGGATTGTGCGCTTTGTGAGTGCAGCTCACGGGATCTGGTCCAGCTCAGTAAATTAATTTGATATTGGCTGCTTCAAACGCTATGAATGATCTACTTGCGAAATTTAACGGTTTAGGATTGATGACAATTTGTTCTAGCGCTTTATCATTTACCCTCTGACTACTCAACATTATTCTCAAATCCAACAATTTGCAAAATCCGTGATAACTAATAAAAATAAGGCGGAGATCCAAAATTTTAAAGAAAACAAAAAATTTAATGCCGCTGCTTTGCCTCAACCTCTGGGCCATTCAGCACACGATTCGTTCCCCGAATCAAGCATCAGCTCCTCGCATAATGTACGTCGTGTTCCGACTCCAAACGTGGAAACAGGCCTTTTTAGCAAATCCAGCAGTGGGATTCTTCTTTTGTCTCGGAACATTATATCATTATCTACGATGTTGCGTAGCCAAGACAGTAGGTATTACACCTAGATATTGCGAGACAGTGCATCTCCCTATAAATAACCAGTCTGCTGTTTGACGATGGGCTAGAATTCGAACCATTTGAGCCGATCAAGCCTGAAATTCAACATTTGTAATGCACATGACAGGGCAGCGTTGACCCCGACGACGATCCGATGCACGGTGTCGACAGCAGCGCCACCTATTCCGGCAGGCGCGTAGACGACATCGACCTGTACGTGGGCGGCCTGCTGGAGACGCCACCAGACGGCGCCCTGGTCGGCCCCACACTCGGCTGTCTGATGGCGCACCAGTTCCAGACGCTCAGACGCGGCGACCGCTTCTGGTACGAGAACGGCGAAGAGCCGCACTCGTTCAGCGCAGGTGAGTGCGGGAACAGCACTTGTTCGGTGCAGGTGTGTGGGACAGCAACTATCGATCAGTCCAGGTGAGGGTGGCAACAGCGCTGGTTCAGTGCTGATCAGTAACACAGCCGAAACCGTTCAGCGCAGATTAGCATGGAAACAGCACTGATTTACTGCTGGTCAGGGACACGACATCAGCCGCTCAGCACACATTGGTGTGGCAACAGCACTCCTTTTGCTTTGGTCTATGAGGCAAGCAAATTTTCAGCGAATAGTGATGCAGAAGTAGCACTCGTTCAGCATGGATGAGTGAGACGACAAAACCCACTCGGCGTCGGTGGGCGTGGCCACGGCGCGCATTCAGCGCAGGTAGATACTTACTCAGGCAGCTCGTGCTGTGCTTTGTTCTAATTAGTGCAATTCATGACGCAAGTGGCACTTCCACGTGAACGACTGATTGAGTGAAGAGTTTTATTTCCCTCACCTTAATGCTTAAAAGGTTTTGTTTTCACCAAAGAGCGGAAGAGCGACAGTCGCCCAACGCCACCAATTACGTAAGTGGATATGTCTGTTGCTGCATGTGACCGTGAAGAACGTTCCTGGTAAATGCATTCGCGCCAATTTTGCCTGTCTGAATGACTACTTCTTTTCACAGACCAGCTGGCCGAGCTCCGTAACGTCACGCTAGCCAAGGTCATCTGCGATAACTCGGCCCTCGCCACGATACAGCCCAGCATCATGATCAAGCCCGGCGAAGGGTGAGCAGCCTTTGCCTACAGTCACAGCAATGTGATTCCTATCGTGATGTGGATATCAGGAAGTGATAGCATCGCATCAATGCCAGGTGGTTCCCAACTTAACTTCGATATGCCCAGACGATGCCTTAAAACATCAAGTTGACTATCCAAAAGATTCGTGCTAACGGTACGTCTTCATACCACTGTAATCACTGCAATCCCTCGCCGTCGCCGGACCCAGTGCGCTGAGTCTGGGCTGGCCGTCTGCTCAGGAACGCGCGGGAGAAGTGTCGCCGGCTGCCAGGTCTGGACCTGCGCCGCTGGGCGAGCCAGCTGGGCTGCGCCGTCCCAGAGCCGGCCCGCCCCGGCTGGAGTCCGGCCAGACCGCTGCCCTTCTGGCCCACCGGCCGGCCGGGAGGGGGCACCTGGCCGACGGCAGGCGCCGGCTCCGGCGGCGTGCCCGGCTACCCGGGACCGGGCGCTGGAGGAGACCAGCGGCCGCCGTACTGGCCACCGGTGGAGCGGCCTCAGCCGGGGCAGGTGGCGCCACCTGAGGGGACGCAGCAGGAGCAGGGCACGACAGCGTGGCGGCCGGGGGCAGCGAGCGGACCCGACCCAATCGAGACGACCTCGGAGGTAGGGTACCCACCTCAGGAGCCAGACCAGGCTCCGGGTGCAGTGGGCGCTGAAATTGCCCCGCCGGCCGCCGGAGCTGACGCGTCCGGCGGCGGCGGCAGCTCTGCCACGGGAGAAGGGTCGCTGTTCCCAAGGCCGAGACCGACAGAAGGCACCTCAGAAACCGGTCAGCCGATGTCACCGGGCGATGGTGCACTATCGTGGACGAGTTCGTCTGGAGGAAACGGAACACCTGGTCAGCCACCCAGCTGGCAGCCTGAGGGCCCCGGCCCAGAGGCGGTGATACCGGTGCACCCGCCGATCCTGCCGCCCTCCCAGCCCAAACCGGAGGCGGTGATACCGGTGCACCCACCGATCCTGCCGCCGTCCCACCCGGACCCGGTGGCAGTGATACCTGTCCACCCTCCGATTCTGCCCCCGTCGCAGCCTGATCCGGAGGTGGTGATACCTGTCCACCCCCCGATCCTCCCACCGTCCCAGCCAAACCCTGAGGTGGTGATACCTGTCCACCCACCGGTCCTCCCACCGTCCAAGCCAGACCCGGAGGCAGTGATACCAGTCCACCCACCCATCCTGCCACCGTCCCAACCGTCCCCAGCGCCGCCGGAGGTCACAACTCCACTGCCGACGCCAGGTCCCAGCCGCCCGGTCCACCCGCCGGTGCTGGCCCCGGCGCCATCCCCTCCGGAGCCGGTGCGACCCGTCCACCCGGAGATCCACCCGACAGTCCTCCCAGCGGTCCTTCCAACGCCGGGTCCCGACCAGACCGTGTCGTCGCCGTCGCCGCCGGTGCTGCCGGTGCACCCGCCGCTGCAGCCGCAGACGAGCATGATGATGCCACCGGCTACGATCACCATCGCCGCCTCGCTCTGGCCGACGGCGCCCGGCAAGCCGCTGGTGTTCGTCATCGGCGGCGACGGCGGCCGGCCGGTGCTCACCGTCATCCCCCGTCCTGTGGTGCCCGCCGGATCGTCCGCCACTGCCGTCCCGCCTCAGGTCATCATCTCCCCCTCGCGGCCCTCGGGGCAGGCGGTGACCTCGCTTCCGCCCGAGGCCACCCTGTCGCCGCCGGCGCCGCTGTTCCCGTCCGGCTTCGACCCGGACTTCCCCGACATTCCACCCGGTGAGACGATCGCCATCGAGCCTCCCTACCCGGAATCAGAGCCGCTCGAGCCGGGCCCGACGGCGGTGGCCGTGCCGCCGCCACCGGATCCCGACGCGTCGAACTACCCCGACCCACCTGAATACCCCGACTACGGCTCGTGGCCGGTGGACCCGGCGTATCCGGACCACGAGCCCGATGCGCCGGCGGAGACGCCGCGGCCGCCGGCGCCGCCGGACGTGCCCGCCTCGGCGGTGCTCGGGCCAGCCGGCACGGCGGCGCCCGTGATCTCGACCCAGCCACCGCTGCCGGCCGGGGTGACACCGGCCGTGGAGCCGGCCGCGCCCGACTATGACCCCGACTTCCAGACAGTTGTCTTCATCCCCGAGTACCCGGACGAAGGCGGCGCGCCGCCCGGGCCGACCGAGCAGCCCTCACTGCCCACCCTGGAGCCGTCTGTGGAGGAGGTGGCGCCCTCGGCGACGCATCCCAGCGGCGGTGGAGTGACGCCGACTCAGAGCTTTACCGCACCCTCCCTGACAGGGACCAGTCTGTCCACTTCCATGCTGTCTATCCTGACTGGAGCCACTCTCTCCACTTCCTCGACATCCATCCTCACTGGAGCCACTCTGTACCCCTCCGTGACGTCAATCCTGACTGGAGCCACTCTCTCCCCCTCCGTGACGTCAATCCTGACTGGAGCCACTCTCTCCCCCTCCGTGACGTCTATCCTGACTGGAGCCACTCTCTCCACTTCCTCGACGTCCATCCTCACTGGAGCCACTCTCTCCCCCTCCGTGACGTCTATCCTGACTGGAGCCACCCTCTCCCCCTCCGTGACGTCAATCCTGACTGGAGCCACTCTCTCCCCCTCCGTGACGTCTATCCTGACTGGAGCCACCCTCTCCCCCTCCGTGACGTCTATCCTGACTGGAGCCACTCTGTACCCCTCCGTGACGTCAATCCTGACTGGAGCCACTCTCTCCCCCTCCGTGACGTCAATCCTGACTGGAGCCACTCTCTCCCCCTCCGTGACGTCTATCCTGACTGGAGCCACCCTCTCCCCCTCCGTGACGTCTATCCTGACTGGAGCCACTCTCTCCCCCTCCGTGACGTCAATCCTGACTGGAGCCACTCTCTCCCCCTCCGTGACGTCTATCCTGACTGGAGCCACTCTCTCCCCCTCCGTGACGTCAATCCTGACTGGAGCCACTCTCTCCCCCTCCGTGACGTCTATCCTGACTGGAGCCACCTCTCCCCCTCCGTGACGTCTATCCTGACTGGAGCCACTCTTTACCCCTCCGTGACGTCTATCCTGACTGGAGCCACTCTTTACCCCTCCGTGACGTCTATCCTGACTGGAGCCACTCTTTACCCCTCCGTGACGTCTATCCTGACTGGAGCCACTCTCTCCCCCTCCGTGACGTCTATCCTGACTGGAGCCACTCTCTCCCCTCCGTGACGTCTATCCTGACTGGAGCCACCCTCTCCCCCTCCGTGACGTCTATCCTGACTGGAGCCACTCTTTACCCCTCCGTGACGTCTATCCTGACTGGAGCCACTCTTTACCCCTCCGTGACGTCTATCCTGACTGGAGCCACTCTTTACCCCTCCGTGACGTCTATCCTGACAGGTGCCACTCTCTCCCCCTCCGTCACATCGATCCAGGTCGTCCCGCCGTCCACGTACCCCAGTCGGCCGGGCACCACCTGGCTAACGTTCGACACGACCTTGATCGGCACGCAGCCCGGTCAGCTGGTGACCGCCATCCGGCCGGGCCAGACGCCGGTGGCCGTGCGGCCGACGGCCACCGGCCGGCCAGTGGTTACGACGTCGATCGTTTGGCGGCCGGGCGCGTGCGGCGGCCGTCCCGGCTGCCGGCCGTCGTGGCCGCCGCGGCCGTGGCCCGGCCGCCCGGTCATCTCCATCATCGCCGGGCCGACGCCGACCATGACGGGCGTGCACCGGCCCGGCGCCACCGTCACTGTGTGGTCCGAGCCGCCGCCGCACGGCGCCGTGCCACGGCCGACCGCAGTCGCCCCAGGCACCGGCACCGCTACCGTCCCCGGTGGAGGCGTCAGGCCGGTCCCCGGGGGGTACCCCAGACCGGTCTCCGGCGGGGGCGTCAGGCCGGTCCCCGGCGGGTACCCCAGACCGGTCCCTGGCGGGTACCCCAGACCGGTCCCCGGCGGGGGCGTCAGGCCGGTCCCCGGCGGGTACCCCAGACCGGTCCCCGGCGGGGGCGTCAGGCCGGTCCCCGGCGGGTACCCCAGCCGGCCACAGGGAGGGTACCCCAGCCGGCCGCAGGGAGGGTACCCTCCGATCGGCGGCAACCTCAGACCGCCGTTTGGCGGCGGGTATCCCAGACCCCGGCCGCCGATCGCAGGATACCCGAGGCCTCCGTCCGGAGCGGTGTACCCGACCGAACCAACTCCGGACGGTCCGGGGCCGTTAGAACCTCCTGTGTCAGCGCTAGAGGAAGTGACGCCAGGGAGTGGTGGGCCCGAGGACACAGTCAAGCCAGGGGGCATCCAGACTAAGCCCATCGGCGCCGTATCTCCTATTCCCGTCCTGCCAGCAGTGGACCCATATCCGGTACAGACGAAACCCACGGGCGATGTCAAACCAATTCCCGTCCTTCCTACAGATCCAGTGCAGACGAAGCCCACGGGTGATGTCGAGCCAATTCCCGTCCTTCCTACAGATCCGGTGCAGACGAAACCCACGGGCGATGTCAAACCAATTCCCGTCCTTCCTACAGATCCGGTGCAAACGAAACCCACGGGCGATGTCAAACCAATTCCCGTCCTTCCTACAGATCCGGTGCAAACGAAACCCACGGGCGATGTCAAACCAATCCCCGTCCTTCCTACAGATCCGGTGCAAACGAAACCCACGGGCGATGTCAAACCAATCCCCGTCCTTCCTACAGATCCGGTGCAAACGAAACCCACGGGCGATGTCAAACCAATCCCCGTCCTTCCTACAGATCCGGTGCAGACAAAACCCACGGGCGATGTCAAACCAATCCCCGTCCTTCCTACAGATCCGGTGCAGACAAAACCCACGAGCGATGTCAAACCAATCCCCGTCCTTCCTACAGATCCGGTGCAAACGAAACCCACGGGCGATGTCAAACCAATCCCCGTCCTTCCTACAGATCCGGTGCAGACAAAACCCACGGGTGATGTCAAACCAATCACCGCGCAGCCTTCTCTAACACCCTCGCCACCAACACAAAGACCACCCTACGTCCCCTACCCTTGGCCGCAGAGACCTCCAGTGATCCCCACGGAGCAACCCACAACGACGTCCACGCCGTCTACACCTGACCCCTGGCCGGGAAGCTCCACTACACCTGACCCCTGGCCGGTAAGCTCCGCGACATCTGACCCTTGGCCGGGAGGCTCCGTGACATCTGACCCCTGGCCGGGTAGCTCCACTACGTCTGACCCCTGGCCGACGGCAGCGGGTCTGCCGATTGGCTGTGAGGCAATCGGCGCGTGGCGCGCGATCCCCGGCATGGACCAGTGGTGCACGTCGAACTGCCTGATGAAGAACCCGCCGTTCTGTCCCGCCACTCACTGCCTCTGTGCGTAGTCGGATGGGCGGCGATGGCGGCGGTGGAAGGAGCCAATCCCACCGCGGCTGCCGGCTGAGGTCGGCGGCCAGCATCATTTGCCGGAGGCCGAGGCCACGCTCTGATTGTTCGTGAGCGGCGGTAGCCAGTGGTGATTACAGGCCGGTGCGTGCGAGGCGTTATCAGCGGCCCAGACAGTACTGGCCGCGACAGCGACATTGATATTTTAGACGATGTGGCATTTTGCGACGTGGCATTACGAGCCCAGGTGGAAGGTGCTTAGTGTTAGCTGCTGTAGTGTTAAGTTTTCACGATGCGGCGCGGATTTCGCATGTGTGCGCGTGTTTATGTCGAGGCTAGCTTGTGCTGGCATTCGTCGAGTCTGTCATGTCTGGATGACATGAACCCCTGATGGCGTCCAGCCGCCTTGTTGTGCCTTATGACCGCATCGGTGTCCAAACTGGCCTTGCACGTGCATGACCGAAGCGTTCGTTGCTCGAACGCAGCGGCTTGTCCATTGTAGCCAGCCAGTCGCCCCACCCCTAACGTCCTCCCATGCCATCCGGCTTCCGACGCGTTCGGTCCGTGTGGGCGTGCCGTAGATTGCGCGCGCCCTTGCTGAGGACGGACAATACGCATTTTGCATTTTTAATAAACAACATGCATTTTAGTGTCGTGTGAGATGAGAGAGCCGAGTGACATCGACCCCCATTCATGTTACAAAGCTTCGAATTGTGGCATTCTGCCCGGTACACAACTTCAATTACTACACATCGTTCTGCTTGCACGCTCTTCAAACGCAGCAAAAACAACAACGTGGCGTTTGTGATTAGGCTTGCTTTATTGTGTATTGATGGCATTCGAAATGAACAAATAACAGAGAAGAGCCTACATTTGGCAAAAGTTTGTGGCGGTCAGACGCGTGGCACCACGCGCGACAGCAGACACCACCAACACTGTTGCGGGTATGCCATAATCCAGCGGCGCACCCATCGTCTGGAGAAATGAACCAGATGAATACGCGCCGCTGTCGCCGACGGTACAGATAAAACGGTTAAACCCAACGCTACTCGGTACACACTGTGCTGTTTGAACTGTTCCTGGCAGCTGGCGTTATCGCAATCGTGCCGGTAAAATGCGGGGCCCTTCCGGCCTCGTCGTTTTCAATAACAACGGCGATCGTTCGTAAGCATAAAATATATAATTTCTCCAGCTGTTACACGATTCCGGAAAGTACGTGGCTACAATGCCCTCGACACGCGCGCGCAGCTACACCGCTTTGATTAGTAGACCGGAGCCAGTCACAGCGGGCCAGGTACCAGACACGACATCGCCAGGGCAGCAGAATCCACTGTAAGTCTAGATCACCTTAAAGCGAATACTACGGCTACTGCTAGAGGCGGCGCCGGGCGGCGGCCGGCAGGGGCCGCTTCGCCCAACAGCTCCAAAGGGCGGCGCGCACAAAACGCCGCCTCATAACAGCCAGCGACGGACAAAAATAAACGAGCGTACAGCCAACCGTTCCACAGGGCAAGCACATGTACGCCGGAGAGGGGGTGGGGGCGCGCGGGGCTGGGCGGACGCCGCCGACGGTGGCGGCGTTGCCACGCCCCGCCGCCGCGCCAAACAAGTAACAAGCCGAGGCAGCGCGCGCCGAAGCTCAGCCAACTGTGCACAACGAACATCGACGAGCAGAGCCCCGGAGGGGTGGCGATGCGGCGGCGGCCGGCCACACGGCCCGCCGGCGTGCCGCGCGTGCCGCAGCGGCGGCAGCGAGCGCCTCCAGCCTTCACGCACGCCGCACCGGCCAGCGTCTGGAGCGTCGGCGCGCCCGGACTGCTGCCCATTGTGAATTGCACAAAGCCGACACACGTTTGTACTGTTCCGGGCCGCTCCCACTCCGCCGCGCATCCAATCTCACAGATATTGGAGTTTTCAGGTACTTTTCTCCACTCGCGCCGCCTAGCTACGCACCCCGCCTCAGTAAAATATATCCGCCGCACCATCGGCAGCTCTATGTGGGCATGCGGCGGCGGGCGGCCGGGCCCCCACGGCACCCCCGGACAAAAGCGGACAGCACAGTGCGGCGGCCCGCTATCCTACCACCCCTCCCCTTACCAGCTTATACGGTAAAAACTAGCCTACAAACGAGCGGCCGAGGCGGAGCGAAGCCCCGCTCTCCGGCGGCGCCGGGCCGCCCGCTCCACCGCGCTCTGCACCCGTCGATCTGTGTGGCGTTGCGCATCAACATCTACGCAAAATGCAATTTGCACGAGACTGTCCGCATAGTTCCAGCATACGTATCCGGATGAGTTTGTGTATATGTGTGTCTGCATGTGTATGTGTGTGTATGTATGTGGATGTACTGACGCTTGCGGCAGCCGACACCGGACCAGGGCTGGGGCCGAGGCGCCGCCGTCACCGGCTCACTCATTGCCAGGCACCTGCATCATGAGCTGGGAGAACTCGTCGCACTCGCTGAGCGCCTGCAGCGTTTCGCCGAGGTCGGCGTCCACGCTGGTCGCCTGCTCGTGCAGACCGAGCCCGTCGCGGCCGGCCGTCGACACGCTGGGCCGCTGCAGGTTCGTGTTCAGCTCGGCCAGCGTCATGTTGGACGAGCAGCCGGCGGGCGCCTCACCGCCGCCGCCGCCGCTGCCGCCGCCGCCACCGCCCGCGCCGCTGAACGCGTCCAGGCCGTACTCGAGCGACAGTGGCGCCGCCAGGTGGGACGAGTGCGAGATGGCAGCCGGCGGCGCGCGGAACACGTAGCCGCCGCTGGCGGCCGGACCGCCGGCCGCCAGCGAGGTGGGCGGCACGCTCTGCGAGCGCTGCAGGCCGAGTGACGCGGCCGGGTCAAGGTTGTCGGTCAGGCCGGCCATCTCGAAGGCGAGCGCGTCGAACGGCGCGCCGGCGCCGTTGACAGAGCGCGGCGGCCGGTAGTGGACGGTGGCGCCGGCCGACTGGTGACGGCGCCGCAGGTCGCTGTAGCCGGCACGCGTGTCCACCAGCGCCGTGCTGGTGGGCGAGACGGGCGCCGAGATGGGCGAGATGCCAGACCCGGACGACGAGTGCCGCGAGCGCACCGACGGCGTGCCGTCGGGCGTCGGGAAGTTGGACGTCTGGATGCCCGACTCGTCGACCGACATGTGCGGCGAGGCCGGCGCCATCGTCGACATGGGCGAGTACGGGTTGGGGTTCATCGGCGAGTAGAGCGGCTGTGAATGGCGGCAGCCGGCGGCGGCCAGCGAGGCCGCCACCAGCGACGTGGCGCCCGACGAGTGGCGCGACCGGCTCTGCGGGAAGCGGCAAGTCTGCTGGCTCGAGTTGTGGCGCGAGCGCGCGAACGGCACGGGCGTCGACTGCGGCGACAAGAACGGCGTCGAGTTCTCCGAGCCGAACGTGGCGCAGCGTGACAGCTCGGAGATGGCCGAGAAGGGCGTGATAGTGCCGGTGCCGGGGCCGCGCGCCAGGTACGGCGCGGACAGCTGGCCCGAGTTGTGGCGCGACCGGTTCAGCGGCAGCGGCGTGCTGTGAGGTGACACGAATGGGCTTTCGCCGACGCCCGGCGGTGGCGGCGGCGGCAGCGGCTCGTGCGCGATCGGCTGGAAGTTGAAGTAGCGGCGGCGTGTGTTGGGGCTGGGCGGCACCATGCCTGGCGGCGGCAGCGGCAGGCCGTCCGGCGCCGACAGGCTCGGCTGGAAGCTGACGCGCCGCCGCAGCGCCACCGACTGGCCGCCAGCGCCGTTCTGGCCGGCCGCCGCGCCGTACGGCCCGGCCGGTTTGTCCACCTTCTGCGTCTCCTTGCTGCCGGGCAGGTTCTGCTCGAGCAGCATGCGCAGCTGCGACAGCTCCTCCTTCTGGTGGTGGTCCTTGTTGTTGAAGTATTGCATCAGCTCCTCCTCGTTATCCTGGCCGCAGAGCACGTCGCTGTACTCGCGGTGGCCCTCGGCGCCGCCGGCGCACGACGCCCGCCCGTCGTATTCCCCCGGCTCGAACTTGGGCTGGATCGCCTTGAACTTGACGTGCGACGGCGGCGGCGGCGGTGGCGGCGGCAGCGGCGGCGGCGGCGGTGGCGGCGGGGGAGGCGGCGGCGGCGGCGGCGGCGGCGGCGGGTAGCCGTTGTGCTGTCGGCCGGCGGGCTGCACGAAGGTGGCGTGCGCCACCGTGTCGCCGTGCGGCGCGCTGGTGATGACCGGGCAGTGCGAGTGGGCCGTGGGCGCGGCGCTCGGCACCGGGCCGCCGCCGCTCATCGTCGACATGTTGACGCAGGCCGGCTCCGGCAGCGGCGCGTACTCGCCGCGCTCCGGCTCCGGCGGCTGCGGCAGCGGCGCCGCGAACGCGTCGGCCGCCGGCTCCAGCCAGCTGTACTGCTCGCCGTAGCCGGGCGGCTCGCCGTAGCCGGCCGAGCCGTCCATCGACGCGTCGTCCGAGGCGTCCGGCTTCTCGTCCGACAGGCCCTTCTTGCGCTTGCGGCCGCGCGCGCCGCCCTTCTCCAGCTTGCCGTCCGAGTCCTGCGAGCGGGGCGAGTGGCGCGGCTCAGGCGGCGACCAGACCATTGGCGGCACATGGCTGCGGTGGGGACTGGACGCCCCGGACTGGCGCAGCCGCGCGGGTGGACAGCGCCGCTCAGCTGGCAGCCCGACGGGCCCCAGGTGACCGTCAGCTGACCGGTGCGGTAGGAGGAGACAACCACCAGCCATCGACACGCGTTTGTGAGATTCCAGCTAGAGCAGCCCATTTGGGAAATACTGGGCAGCGTCAATCATATCCCGGACCTCGACTGACGCGACACCGTCGAAATGCGGCTGAATAGGTCTGTGACCGAAGCCGATTGGTGGAAATATGGAAAGAACGCGACATCATCTCCTCCCAACGACTGCACGATAAGCTGACTGGTTTCAGAAGCGGCCAAGTCATAGCCGTACTGACCTGCAATTTCTTCTTCTGCTCACGAAACAGCTCTTTCTCTTGCAGTTTTCTCTGCAACTGTAGTTGGGTTTCTCTATGCCTATTGACTGGATGTAAATAACTAGACGGCATATCTGGAATACACAAGTTGTAAATGTTATAGATGGCAATACAGAGAACGCGAGGGAGCGGAGAGATATCCACGTACTCACTAGCATGAATACGTTATGCGGAGGCATCGGTGCCACTCTTCACGACCCGCATTTAGGGAGGCTTTCTTAGTCCCTATTCCACAGCAGCGCCCTTATTATCCCCAAAAATAATCGATCGAGGCCGCATGTCTCCTGACATTCGCTTCTGCGCCTGTTACCAACTGGGCTCAGCCTTATACGGATTAGGCATAGATAACTTGTTTTCAACACATGTCTAGCAGAGTGCAGTATGACCTCTCCCGATTATCCCAACAGATCTTTTTGTGCTCCATTTTCTACTTACGTCAAGATAAATCTATAAAAGTTTAGCCTCAATACGGAGCCCAATGGGAGGCGAGTCCACAGTGGACATCTCTGTTCTGAAAGTGTCTCGGTCCATGGCGTCATAGCCGAAAACAAAGAGTAAAAGTGACAATGCTTCAGCGGTTTTGGCAGGGTTTCAAGATTTGTTGGAGCTGACAAGCGTATTTTAAAATCCTTTTTATGTGGCCATTCTAGGGATCATAACACGAGATAACTTTTATCGAGATCTTATCTACTCAACCTTAAATAGAGCGTGAGAGATACATATCTCTTCGAAGTAACACAATTTAAGAGCGTTATCCCAACCTGTTCCAAAATCGCATGAAAACATGAGAGAACCAGGACGGCCAACCGGCCTGGGGATGCGACGCCCGGCGAGCGATGTGGTCAGCTAATCGCCGCGTCACGGCGCGCCCCATGAGCGGCGCGTCGAGACGGGCGCGGCCGGCGGCCACTCAAGGCCGCCAGCGCCGGCCGCCGCCACCCGCTCGCCCACCTTTTATCACGGCGGCCGCGCCCGCCAGGCCGGCCGGCGTCGGCCCGGACACGTAGTTCTTCTTGACCAGGTAGCTGCTGAGCTGAGAGAGCGTCTCGAACTTCTCGCCGATCAGCTTCTCGGCCCACTGGCGGATCAGCAGGGAAGAGGCTGCCAGCTCGCCAGAGCCGTCACCGGTGCCGCTGCCGCCGCTGGCGCCAACCTCACCACCCGCCTGCGGAATACGGCGCCGGGTCACAACACGGCACAGACAGGTCATCACGGCTGCTGGTCAGAGGGAGCGGGGACCGGGTCACAACACGGCACAGACAGGTCATCACGGCTGCTGATCAGAGGGAGCAGGGGACCGGGTCACAGCAGGCCAGCGGGGTGTCGCCGCTCGGGCAGGGCCTCAGCAGCCTATTGGCCCTTTCGTCCGGCCGATCGTTACACGGCTGCGGTGTCTGGTGTTCCCCAGCCGCCGGCCAGCGGCAGGTCACGGCCCCGTGCCGCGCCGCCTGCGCCTCGCGCCTCGTCTCGTGTTCGGTAGTCTCGCGGGACACGAGGCGGGGCCTGGCCAGGGGGCGCCGCTGGGCCGCCGGGCCGCCGGGCCGCCGTGAGCCGCCGCCACCGGCCCGTCGGCCGGTGTTTGGCCTTGGCAGCCGGACGGGGCGCCGGCGGACTCCCGGCCGCTCAGTGGCGGGCCGGCAGCCGTGCCGAGCACCAACCGGCCGGCCGGTGGGGGCCGCCGGCGGTGGCGATATCGCCCTCCGCACGGGCCCCCAGGCCTGTCCTCCCTCACAGCTTTAGAAAGGCTCCGATTCGTGCTGCCATATGGGTTTTACATCAGCAGCGCTTTGTGTAGCTCCGACAAAATGGCACTGCATTGACGCATTTACTATTCATGTGCACAGGAAATCCAGGCTGCTTGCAAAGATTAACAGGCCATTAATTCCATAATCGCATACAGAGACACCCCTTGTTCCTGTCTTTGAGGAAAGACTACAACCCAAACACCAAACATGTATAATCCTGTTTAGACCAAAACGTACCAGGACTACAAAAACCCACACATCAAGTGAAGCCGGTCGGTGTCCCCCATCAGAACAGACATATAGTGGACACGGGAAAATATGTTCTGCCGGACAGCAGCTGCTGCAAAGCACAGATCTGGGCACAATGGGCCTCCATACCGGAATTTCGTACCGACGTGTCACAGCCAGCTTACCGACCAGTCAGGGCCAGAACCAGGCTCACAAGCCTCCTTAAACGACCACACATTTATAATTTAACACAGCGACTTCTTGACTCCCAGCAATCCAGTACATAGGAAATGCTGCCACCTCTGACGCCACGTCTTACCTTTGGCGGCGACAACATGGAATACGGCACTGCCGAAGCAAAACGTCCACTGCTGCGCGCTTCTTTCCCATGGGGACCATGCCAAAGCCAAAACGGTGCATACCACTTAAAGTGCAAGGCGCAAACTCCTGGCGATTGATACCAAATGAAATACGACATTGAAATGCGTACATCAGGTGCACCTCCACGCGCTAAAAGATGGGGCTCACGACGCGTCAAAATTATATCGGCATGGACCGAGCAGCACATTATGATTGCAACGAGTGCTTACCAGCACGAGCAAAAAAAAAACGAACACTGCAATCAGTATCACCATTCTCCCGTCATACCGCTCTGTGATGCGCTTATTCCGTCATAACGCTGTGCGACGTGCTTATTCCGTTATAACACTGTGTGACGCGCTTATTCCGTCATAACGCTGTGTGACGTGCTTATTCAGTCATAACGCGCTGTGACGCCCTTATTCCATCATAACACTCTGTGACGCGCTTATTCCGCCATAAGCGCTGTCATAATAAGAACACCACTAGGAAACGCTTGCCTTCCAACAGGTCGGTGTGCTGGCCAATACAGTGTAGAATTAATGCAACGCAAATATTTTGTCAATTAGATATACATATGTATATATATATATATATATATATAACATTTTTGCAATTAATGCAACGTAAATACCTTTGCAGAGAAAATCCACACGACTGCATCGCAAGAGGACGACGTACCTTCCCAGATATCTAACTAAATATCTTGGTACCGTTTTCAGTGAGTCAAAATGACGCTTCAGTAAGTACAATCCGCTCATACAAGCGGTGCTGCCTCGTCGGAATGAACATCAGGCACGATTTCTGAAGTCGCTCTCTTGATGTGTCCCATTGTGCACCATCAGTACACACTAGAAAGCGTCTGTGGTTTGTTCTATGCTTGACAAGTGCTCATACGAACAGCAATTACCACCATCGTCCCTCGGCGAAATAGCCATGTCCCTGTTGCCACGCCCTGAGCATTTTCCATGCATACTACAAGAACTGCCGAATCATTCCATTTCATTCCTTATTCCAAATTACAAACGTCACGGTACTACCCTTACACAAAACCGCTCAACAGATAGCCGCCGTGCCAGACAAACGCTATGGCTCTCGTCATGATGATTTCGAACGCCCCCTACCCAACCTTTTACTATAGATCGGCCTCTATGCACCGGGGCGAGCACACAAACTGCAACCGGGCGCTAGCTTCGCGTTGCCACGTCAGCGGCGGAGAGTGACACACGCTATTGTGCTGCTGTATCGACGACGCGTCTGGTATTGACGGCGCGGCAATGCTATCTGGAGGCCATCAATGAATCCTTCGCAACTGCATGCGCGTGTGGGAAGGTGACGGGGACGGGAGGGTAAAATTATGGGAAAATACGCTGGGAATAATAACTAGGGTAGATATGGATGGAAACCAAAATATGCGACCAGCAGCTCTGCAGTTGTACCCGCCGGACCTAACTGGTCAGTAAAAACTCAACAGGATAAACAGCGCGCGGTTTGAAAAATGGCACAGTTACAAACACAATGAGCATGACTGATTACCGAAGCTTCGTGTGATATCATCGCTTCGCTACCCTCGCTGTAATGCATGTCTTTCGTTGTCTTCGTTTGCGTGATGGATTAGCATCCACAGGTGAAGAGTGCTAGGAAAGGCTTGTGGGACACGCCTGTCGGACTCAATAACTCTTAAAGGCAACTTGTTAAGAGTTGTATTGACGTTGAGAACAATCGTGACGCGGCTGCCACATCTGCCATGCCGTATTCTCCACCCATTCCATTGCAGCTGGAGCGTTAAATTTTCATTGTAATTCTCCCAATTCAAACACCCTTATCAAATCCTACATGCACCACATATTTGAGCACTCTCCGGGGCCCTTAGTTGGCAGGATGACCCCAGCCAATCCGGCTGCGGTTCGGGCAGCCCGCTCTTCTCTTATGCTCAAACAGCAAGGTGTCCCGTGGTCAACGAGGTCAAGTCAAGTCACGGTGGTTCATCCGCGGAGCGGCTTGCACAGCCAAACACGAACTGTCTTCAAATGCAAGCAGCCACTAGCTGACGATGGATACGAAGGCTACGAGCGTGACTGTAGCTCATGTCATAAGAGGGTGTGGTTCGCACTTTCTGCGGCTACAAAAATTACTTTGATCACACTCTCATACAGGACTTGGTTTCTGTTGCACAGCGAACTTCGTCACACCACAGAGCACGCCGACCGGTCCCCGCCAGGACGAAGCTCACATGATAGCCTTCAAGAACGAGCACATACCACCCCGAGTTCAAACGCCGACTTCAAGCAGCGACTTTTTAACTCCCAACAATCCGGGACACGTGGGATGGCACCACTGGCGCTGCGTCTCTGGGCGCGACCACTTGGAAAACTTGCGCTTTCCACTAGACGGTGGAAAACTTTCAAAACAAAGGTATGCAACATACACGAGGCTGAACTTGTAGAGAACTCCTTTGGGGAGCTGCAAACCTGTTGCTATTTGCTGTGATTACCTTGAATTATCCGCAATCAAAGCTAGCGGTTCTAATAAAAAATAATTATTGAAATTCTGACTCGAAGGGAGTTCGTTCGTTGACCCCTTGCTTGTCAGCTTTAACAGCGATTACAGACAAATGTTGCTCGCAGGAACTAAGCACCTTGCACGTAGCTTTCCACATAACACCATGTAACCACGTAGATGTTGCCACAAGCACTCACCGCATGGAATGCAAAATCGAGGTCAGCGTATGTTTACGTGAAGTTACGCGATTCAGCAATCGGGACGGATAACAAACGTGACGATTTGTTTCTGAAGCCGCCTCAGCTGCCGTAAGTTTACGCCAGGATGCACCGCATCAAACGACAGCGTCATTTGCCCGGGCGACTATGCCTGCGAGGGGAGCCTAAAGGTCGCAAGGGAGGGGCAGGGGTGGGACGGGGCAGGGAGAAGAAGAAATGACCGGCGCAAGGTCAGCCGTGGTCACCGCCGTGCGCTAGCCTACGTCCCCCCTCCCCTCCCCCGACGGCAGCCACCAGGGGCCGGGCTGGCTGAGCGAGGCGGCGGCGCGCCGTGCCAGCGGCGACCACCGTCCGGTGGTGCACCGGCGGCGCCTGCGGGCATCGGTACGCTGGTGACCCCGGGGAGCCCGGAGAGACGCTTCTCCCGTCGGCCGTCACCGGCGGGCCGAGCGGCCGCCGACGGGCCGGGCGTAGCGCCCTGAGCGTCGCCGGGCGCCGGCCGGCGGCGGAGGCGGCCCGCTGTCGACCCGCTGGCGGCCCGCCGCCGGCCGCCGGCCGCCGGCCCGACAGCCGCGCCGCCACACCGAGCGACCTCGCAGCGCTGGCACTGACCTACGCTCGGCTGCCTCGGTGCTCCAGTACCATGGCCTAGCAACCGGCCAACAGCGGGGCCCCATCGATCGCGGAGGGCGGAGGACAGGTCGCCGATCGGCCGGGCACGCTTTCTACGACGTCGCTGCACGCCAGCGAGCGGGCCGCCGGGCCCGTGAAGTTTGCAGCGGGCCTCAAGGCGAGGCGCCGACGGTCCGGGCCGCTCCGCGGTCATGCCCGGTGTCGGTGACAAACAAGCCGCCGAACAGCCCACCGCCAAAGGTACACAGGCCGGCAACGGAGGCCGCTTGCGAGCGGCGTGGGGGCACCAGTGGGAAGACATGCCCGCCAGCTGGACCCGGTGGCAGGACTGTAACGGCACGCCCGCCCCAGTGACACGCCACCGGTCCCGCCGAGCTCAGCTAGGCCAGGTGCCAGACGCGACATTGTGCTTATCGTTATCCCCTTCAATTATGGTTCGATGCAAGTTGTGACACAGATGTGGTTTATGACCGCCCGCTGTCGGCGTCCAACCAACCGGTACGTCGATTTTGGGAAGTAATCGTTGGTTTCTTATTCGAACCGATTAACTTCAAAAGATGAACTGCACCGAGCATAGCCGCGCTTACAGTCCAAACGTCTCCGGGTATACCATTTTTACAGACACCACAATGCAAACAGAGGACTTGACCTGGACAGGGGCCACGCCGAAGCACGGTCTGGCGTGACAACAAGGCCGCCTGCCATCGGCCGTAGACATGCAGGGTCAGCCGACTGATCAGGCCCAAGGCCGCACCAGTCTCGGCAGGGGGCGCCGCCTCGGCCCGCTCCACGGTAGCCGCTTTAACCAGCCAGCGTGCGGGTTGCACTCCCGTCTAAAAGAAATCATTTGCTGACCAGTCATGGCCGGGCTGTTCAGAAGCCGGGCGGGGTCCACTGAGGTCCGATTCGTAAAACGCATGCGATCCAGCCGAAACTCTTAACGATCACCTCCAAAAAGCGTCGACTTCTGGCATTTAACAAACTTCCTGGGCATCAAACAAACAGTAAATAGCCAGGTGTTCAGCACTGATCGTAAAACAAGCAGCCGCAAGGGCCTGCGGAGTCCCACCGAACCACTAGGGGCTGGCTACCACAGACACACTCGCCAGGCATGAGCAGGAATGCTCTCGCCCCAACCAATTGCTTCCCAGGCGAATCTCCTGCCACCTGACATTTAGCTGTGCTGGTTATGCTTCAATCCATGGCCGTGTATTCTAATTATCCAGGTTTTCACAGCACATAATGTCAGGAGCAACGTGAAATGCCCTCATTAAATCAACATGGTGATCATGAGCCAACCCGTCGAAAACAAGTGGCTTTCTGATTTGATCAACTGACGAAAAGACAGTTGCTCAACGCTTTCCGATCCAAACTGAAATGCCAATAAGATGGCAATTCACCTTCAACGTATAAAGACAGTAAATTCGCGTCAGATTTTTATAAATATTTCAGACCAATCGCACAGTGATGAAACTGGCCATGATTTACGACTTTGTTTCGATTTTCGTGTTTGTTTGTTTTGTTTGTTTCGACCGAGGCGGCGGGTCGGGAGATCCAAGCAGCCCGAAACTGCAGTTTCCGCGCCCAGGTCGTGCCAGTCATGCTTCTAACGCGGTTATATATTTGCAACCATTCCTCGCAGCACAATCGCGTTTTCGGTTAATGGTAGCGCAATTCTGCGTGTTACATTATTGTCAAGGCTTCCTTGCAGGCTCCACAAAGTTGCAGTATGGTGGGAAACACAAACATGGTGCATGGCGGGAAACGAAAAGGGACGTCGCAAAGACACGAACTTGCCTCTAACGCAGACGCAGAAGAAAACGAACAATCGTAATCATAATGTAAGAGCGGGCTGTGTGTGAAAAGGGCGATAGCACATGTTACGTGTTGTACGTTGTTTATGAATGCTTGCAGGTTCTATACCTCTTCCGTAATTACACCCTTTGTGGAGCCAATTTTTGTTGCTGAAAACCAAGATCCGCTGGAAGTGGGGGGGGGGGGGGGGGAGGGGGAGGGGGAAGGGAGGGGAGGCGTCGAGATGAGCAGCCACTAAGTGCACGTCCGAAGTTGAGCACCGCCCCAGTCTAGGGGACCGTCCACCACCGTACGACCCACTCTCCCACTGCACAGCTCCACCTGGCCGTGACGTCACGGCCAGCGCCACGCTGCAAGGCTCGCGCCGATCGAATCTCGCCGCCGGCCGTGGCTCCCCCCACCCGGTCCCGGTCCCGGTCCCGATCCCGGTCCCGGCGCGCGCGCCCACCGCCACCGCTCCACTCATCCATAATGGATGACGGCTATTTCGAGCCGTCGTAAATCCAGGTGCTGAACGGAAAGCTCGGCGTACGTGGTAACAGCCCGGGTGCTAAAGACAGTCGGGGATCAGGCGTGCTCTCGTAAATACTCGCGTCCTTGCGGCGCCGAACCGTCCTTGCAGAGCAGCACAGCCTTGCAGCAGCACCTCTTACCACTTCGAGTGCGCTGGCTATGTGTGCTCAGTGCCACGTCAGGCACGGCTGGGAGCAGCTGCCCTGCAGCGCGACAAGGCGCAATGCAGCGAGGAGCTTCGATACGCCAGCAAGCGATCAGTGGTCACCGCCGGGCACTTGAGATGCTGCGGACTTTCGAGGGACGGGTCTGTCTCCAGTCACATCTGGCAAGACTGCGCGCAATCGTAAGCATCCAACAGTCGCCTCTCACCCACCCCCCTGGGAACCTAAAGCCCGGGTACAACTGCGCCTCATCATCATCATCAGTTTCAGCCCATGGCGGAGAAGCGGACGGCAAACAACACGCGTATGACGCAGCAGTACCCCCCGCTGAGAAACAGTCAGGAGCAAGCGTCGCGACATTGCTACTGCCTGCATACGTCCTCCGCACAGTCACTGGCTGCTCTTGAAGCACATCACAGTGAACCAGCAGTGCCACCGACCGCTCGCATCGGTCAGAAAACACATCGCAAAAGGCGGTAATCCGTTACGGGAGCTCGTAGATCGGAACATAGCCTAAAACAACATTGTAATCCCTACTCTGCGGCGCTAGCGGTCGATAGTCGTCTCTCCAGCTCGGGAGGGGCTAACTGCTGCAAGAGATTGTTCGCAGCGTTGGTACGTGTGCAATAAACCATCTAACTCCACGACGGTGTAAACAAACACGGACTGCCGTCCTAAATACTGACAACAGGACAACATGCAGTTAAGTCTCAACCTGAAGATTTGACGCCCGTGAACACCGGCCACGGTCGGTGCGCGTTAAATGACCTTTGCCGGGGATTCCAGACCGTACTGACACGACGCCTATGCACCTCCTTGTGTGCAGGTGTTGCCAGGCAACAGCCGGGCGCAGAAGCCCCCGGATGCGAGTGTCTCAGGCCGCGGCTAGCCTGGGGCCAGCAGAACACACAGGACGCTCACAAAGTCCCTTTGAGACCATTGCCTCGGCCAGCGTTATACATCCCGCTGCGATGCTCTTTGAAAAGAGACACTTTCACAAATTCATCATTCCTTGATATGAAGCAGAAGCGCGAAGCCGCAGCGACGCACGCCAATCAAGCGGCTTCGAGCGTCGGCGACTTCACAATATCACAGGCCCCCGGACTCCGAGAGCCCGTAGCTGGTTAATGCCGCACAGAGACGCAGCCTGCCGCGGTGTGGCTGTACATTGGTGCGCTGTCGCTGGGCAGGTTTAACTGTCGGTGAATGGCACTTCACCACACGCCGATTCCGACCGCCCAGCGCAGTTCTCTTTAGTGGAGTGGGCGACTGCCTCACTCCGAGCAGTTTGGTGCCACATGGAGAAAAAAGCAAAGCTCAGAAAATCCGCGACAAAAACTGCGATAAAGGATGCCAGCCTGAAGCAATCGGGACAAATTGCCGAGATGCATGCATGGAGAAAATCGAGACGAAACGCATGGCATCTCCGTCTTATTCCAGCGATGCATTTTACCTTTTTTCTCGACCGATCGCGACTCTATACTGTGTACTGTCTGTCTAACTGGAGTTTTTGTTCGCTCATGCCCCTCAGGGCCAATAACAAAGCCAATCACGTGTTTACACAATTAACAACCAGCACCTGTCTCACCGGGTGCAATAACGCTGTTCGTGAACAGCACTAACGCTGTTCGTGTTGTTCGCTCGTGCAGCACTGTTCGTGCCACGCGCCCAGTGCGACGAGCTTCACGTTGTCAATGTACTGCCTACCGCGTGGTACAATGCGTGGGTCTCGGCTCCGGCGGTCAACAAACATCGTGTACAATCTTAGCTTGTCTCCTTGACTGCAGACATGTTCGGCACAGTTGTTCGCCCAGCAGCCCGCCACCATCATCGTGCAGGCCAAAATGTATCCGTTAAGTCGATATCAATTCTGAGGAGGTACACCTCGCAAGCGCTCATCCACACCTACTACTCTCTCATCATGCACCATCCAGCACTCACCACCTAACATCCGCCATCCCTGCCACCATCTTTTACTGGCGACTACTCGGCCAGGCAAACTGTTGGGGCAACATCGTCTCTGAAGTCTGATCACAATACGGAGACCGCCACCATTCAGTGGGCTGCCGACTCCAGACAGTCTCATGTACAAAGAACCGCGAAAAACGTGCGATCCGGGGACGGCAGAAATCGACCGAAGGCCGTCAAGCTAACGCTCGCGTCGCTGTCATTTGGTTTCGGAGAGGCTCAAACACAGAGCACAGTCGTGATTCGTCTCTGTAGCCTCCGTAATAGTCAACCCCACACACATGTGTCCAGGCGTCCCTCTGGCTGTCCAAGTGACGCATCCTCTCCTGGCCTGACCCACGTCGGGTCTTGGCCGGCGTCTCCCTGTCCAAGTGACGCAGCCCCTCCCGGCCGGACCCACCTTGACCGGCGTCTCGCCGTCCAGGTGACGCAGCCCCTCGCGGCCGGACCCACCTTGACCGGCGTCTCACCGTCCAGGTGACGCGGCCCCTCGCGGCCGGACCCCACCTTGACTGGGGTCTCCCTGTCCAGATGACGCCCCCCCCCCCCCCGGCCGGACCCACCTTGACCGGCGTCTCGTCGTCCAGGTGACGCGGCCCCTCCTCGCCGGACCCACCTTGACCGGCGTCTCGCCGTCCAGGCGACGCGGCCCCTCCCGGCTGGACCCACCTTCACCGGCGTCTCGCCGTCCAGGTCGGGTAGGTGCGGCGCCTCCAGCTTGGTCTTGCGCCGCAGACCTGCGTAGCAGTAGCGCGAGTGACCGCGAGTGCCCAGCCTGCGCGGCCGCACGCGCGGGAACACCTGCTTCATCACCTTGCCGAAGTCGGCCGTGCTCAGGCCCTTCATGCTGTTGGTGCTGCAGTACACCCTGCGGGCCAGGCAAGGGTGCGCTGTAATGGGCGCACACTACCACAGCGGGTGAGCTGGTGACACAACCAGGTGTGCAGGAGGGTCCTATGTGGCAGGCTGCTAAACTTCCCTTGGGGTAATCCTTTTAAATGCTTCATTTGCCAAGGGTTTAATGCTAAACCTTTGAAAAACAGGAATATATGACCAACTTGCCCTTCCCCTTTCCTAAGGCTGGGGATGCAGAGGCAGGCTGGGACCTGGAACGCTAAGAAAGGTCTGGGGAAGGTAGCATTGTTTCACTGGCTTTTCATGCAAGTGAAACCCATGGTGATGGAGCAGAGTGCATGGACACAGCGCAACAAGTTATGAGTCACTATTGCAGGCACTTACTTAATTTCACACCCTGCCTAACAAAAGGGAAAGTTGAGGCTGAGACCATGTGAATAATATATTAGCAAAGAGTTGGTGCAGAAGTTCCACTTCCATAAAACATCCATTTATGTGCAGGTATCACTCATGTGGTTGGTTATAAAGCACAGGTACACATAAGGAAAATAACCATGTTGATAAAAAAGCACATCTTAGCTTTCCAACAGCAGGATGCAGCATGGGTTACCTCTGTTGTGGGCTACATCAGACAACCCATGTTCAATATTTTAGAAATAAGCACCAAACAAGTGCAATGTGCAGGCTGAAAGAGTGCTGAACTTCATGACTTTCAGCACATAATTGAAAAGCTGTTTCCCTTAATGTTTTGAAAACATCAAACTTTTGATACTCAAAACAGGAAAATATGTCTGACAAGCAGACATGAAATTTGTATACACTAACAGCAGCATTGCACACCATACTGCACATCCTAAGCAGTTAAGATAAGCAGCAGATCCAATACTGGTATCAACCAGAAACTGCCACATGAAAAATTCAATTCAAAGATGAGTCCAGTAGTCCACAGATGAGTAGATACAACCTTTGTGTATTTTATAGAGCATTTTCCTGCTTGGAAGCACGCACTGTACACAACCACTCACTGGTATTCATCATAGACCTCATGCTTGGGCATCGACACATCCTGGTCTTCCTCCAGGTGTGTGCGGATCCACATGATGGTCTGCTGGATCTCAAACCTGCTGCCCAATGGGTTCAGGGGTCTGTAACAGCAAAATAATGGTGAGATGCTGCACATAATGTCTGGGCATATGATTATTTCATCTAGAGAAGTATAAAAGCACATGATGCATTTATGATGAGACACATCATATAAGACTTGTCCACTATCAACCAGGAGAGCACAGCACCGAGTTGCACATTCAGCAAGCAGATGTATGACTTGACTCACATCTTAAGTGGATCAACATCATTGTTCTTCCCAGCTGGTAGTTTGAGGTAGAGCAGAAGTTTCTCCAGATCTGATAGCTGATCCACCTGCTGTAAGATCCGATCCACCACCGCACAGGATTCAGAACTGAAATGAGCAGACAAATAATCACTTCTCCGTTGGAATTATTAGTGGCAGGCAAATAGCAGAAAACTTGACTAAGTGAGAGAGTTAACATGACAACATGATCAACCGAGAGTTACCATAACAAACTGAGCTCCCAGCACCTAAATGCACCAATATCATTTACTACTCACATGAATTCCACTTTTCAACCATACTGACAATGACCAAGGGTGAAGCAATGACACTGAAATACACCACTACCTGAAGCATATTTCCAGGTATGCATACATACATTACACAATATATATATATTGCTTAAAATTCAGCCATTACTTGGCCCTGTAACTATATATTCAGAAAACAAAATTACAGATGCATAAAATACAACTCCAGCAAAATGTCCGACAAAACAAACCTTCACAGGTTTGGACTGACACTACATCAGCAGCAGATCCCTGATAACAGATTTAAGAAAAAGGCTGGCAGAATAAAAACTTTACCAACATTTTCCACAACAACATTGTCTGATTCATTACTTTAAAGTTGCTTACAAAGGAGTTCACAGTTTTCATAAGAAACATGGCCAAACAAAGATGGTTTTGTAAGAACTACTCATTTGTTATATGTGAAGACCTAAGAACCAGCCAAGTCTCAGTCTTAGCTTCAGTTTCAGTTTCAGTCTTTGTCTCAGACTAAGTTTCAGCCACATTCTTAGTTTCAGTTTGTCCCAGTCTCATTTTCAGCTTCAGTCTCAGTCTACACCTCAATCTCAGCTTTATTCTCATTCTCTAAGTGTCAGTCTCAGTGCCAGTCTCAGTCTCAGTCTCCATTTCAGTCTCAGTCTTGGTTTCAGCCTCAGATCTCTGCTTCTGATACTGCTGCTAAGACAGGAAATATATGGAAGCCAAGGATGGCCAGTGTATATTTTAACAAGTGTCCCAAAGAAGCAGAAGTTAGATTCATACCATATTGCCCAACTAGCTTACACAAAACCTATTAAAAGAATGTTTATAATTTCACATGCTATGCTATGTATCTGGATACAAGTGCTAGGACTATGTTAACAATCATATAAGTTATGCCTTATGGCTAGGTTCAAACACAGTGAGATCCAAGACAGTCCTCCTCCTCTTTTCCCACTATGCATATTTCACAAGGTCATAAGATTAGGTTACCATGACACACTTCTCATGCTGGCATGCACTCTTGCATTTTGTTCATAACAGTTCCAAAACTGCTTAACAGCCATATTAAGTGCTTGGATCAGAGACAAAAACCTGACCATGTTCCCATAATCTATCTGTTCCAGGCATTATTGACATTGTTGCAAAATTGCAGACATTGTTGCTAAATTAATCTGATACTAATGCAAACACAAAAGAGTGGCATGAAGGCTATGTCCTATCAGAAAATAAACCAAAGGCTCAGTGATAAGATGGAAATTGATACCAGACAGCAAACATTGATTTTATAAATTTATGTTGCTAACTAGATCACACCATCCTAAAATAGCATACAGCCACTAAAATGCAAAAGCTCCACTCACACACTTGGCTCTGAGAGGCAATGACACATTGGAACACAGCACCATTCCCTGCAATTGCAAATTGCAGCAGCACCATTTGAATCTACAACATAAGTAGATGTGCAGCAATAGCACAAAACACATCCATGAATAACCTCATGCAACATCATACACATCACTGCCACAGCTGCAACATAATCTGCACCACCAACTTCATCAAAACACATGGCCATCTCCATGTACATACTTACCTGCAGGCAGCTTCCACCACACTGTGGAGCTTGCTGGTTTTGCTAGCCTGTTCACTGTTATGGGCATTCTGTATGCCCATCTGAGTTTGATCATCACTCCATGAATTTGGATGACAGTTCAAATTATTGAAATCATTTTCAACACCACCGTAATTTTCCAAAGCCCCTTTGTTGGCAGTCGCCCTCCATCCTCCTTAGACGTGTTTCACTCTAAATGGGCGCTTCAGACGCACTGATGACAATTAGTTCCAACATGATTCTGCAACAGCCCCAAGACGAGCGGCTGTTCAAACGCATGTAAGAGAGCTAAGACTGTTTAATTTTCGTGTCATGTAATCATGACGCTCCAAACGTAAAGTATGATACAGTATTATTAAAAGCAATCCATGGTAAACCACAACACCTCCCACTTCCCAAAGCTGGCCTTTGGCGACACAGGCTGATTTTTAGGGATGTTAAATTATACGCACAAGAAATTTCAAGGTCATACAAAAGTCTCAGTGAATAAACAAACCATTCTCCTAAAATATGTTTAAAATAAAAATAAAATGGCGCGTAATTCATTAAACGTCTTTTCTGAGTCCAATCCACGGACAATTATCCAACACACAAAAGAGCTCTATTGTAAACAAAACATGGACAATCAGCTGACTTTGTATCAAGAGCTCAAGAATACATAATTTAGCTATCAAAACTAGAGGCAATTTGTATTGTACAAAAGGCTATAAATACAATCTTAATGTTGTTAAATATTGTTTTCTCGAGAAAAATTGCAAATTATTATAATATAATTGCATAAATCGAACTAAACTGCATTAATTTAAGAAACCGAGACTAAATGCGCCAATACATCCGGGACTCCTGCGCACATGATATGCGCAGTAGCCAAAAACCTGTCGAACTCCTAGACGACTGCTGCTCTCCAAGGTAACGTCAACAAAGTTGGTCGGGGTGAAAGTACGTGCGTTGTCTGGGTGAATTGTAAATTTCCTGGGGCCGTTGTGGTGCTAATTCTGATTTTCGTCTGTTCCTTTTGTTGTTAGGGATGATCTTAAGCCACTGGTTGTGCCTCACTGCTCTTAATGATCCGCTCTCTGACGAACATTTGGTCGCGGGGCTCCTGCGTCATTGTTCTCAACCAACTACTGTTTGGGATAATATCATCCAGTTGGTGCTGTCACCACTTTGTAAACGCATGTGTTGGAGTTAATTTGATAGTTCTTTGAGCTATTAAAGTTATTGATCTACCTTACCTTAGGTACCTTTGACTTTCCATATGTTGCTATCATGCTTTGTGTGACTTTGGGAGGCTACCTTTAAAGGAATTGAAGGGTTAAGGTTATAATGTATGTATTCAGGATTATAATTGTGTTTATACTGGGTCAGCAGTGTAAAGACATTTTGCAATGGGCAAGGGATGTCAGTTATTTGGGGGATGTATTCAGTGGTGGTTCCTCAGTCAGGTGATCTGATAAGTGTGATGGGAATGTAGTTTTCCATGATGATAAGATTATAAACATGTTACTTTATTTCAGTATAAAAAATGCACCATTGAAATTGTAGACATAGGTTCAACCTCTAAATTAAGTTGCATGCCCCATTTGACTAAGATAGTACAGTTCGAGAACTTTCACCAGTGTGGTTTACTGACGATCACAATAAATGTTCTTTCACTTGAATTGCTGCCTTTGTTGGCATGACTACAATAAGTATGAATGTCAGAGTATGAACAGTAGCCACTCTTCATGCCAGGATTAGTAGCAAGAGGTGCCATGCAGCCTCAGAAACTTATTGTATTATAAAACTCCAATGTCATTGGCATAAAAGGTCATGGTTCTAGGATACCATGGCATAAAATTACTTAAGAAGTCAAATCTGGATGGGAAGTCATAGGAGCATGCTGATAAATGCTGTTTAGAAGTGGTTATATTCACCCTGAAGATTAGGGCTGAAATTTCCCAAAGTAAATCAGGATTGCAATTGCCATTTTTTGGTCAGTTCTTTCATGCCATGATGGATCTTATGGTGACAAAGAGCATTAAAAGATCCAATATGCTTTATTTTGATGTGTGATTATGTGATGTGATGTGTGATGTGTGATGAGCAAGAGATGTGTGAAATGCCCAAGATATTACCACTATGACCAGTATGCAAAGTAATTGCTAACCAACTAAAGATTATGATAATTATGGTGTAATATCTTGTTCATGCAACCTATATGAGTCTAAAACAATCTTAAACATAAGAAAGAGATTATGCATGCAAGCTTCTATGTTAGCTTAGTTTTAATGGCACAAATGGCATTTATTTTCAAATTTAACCTTATGGCTACATTAGATGGTCCAGTCCAAGACATGAGCAGATGGTTATAATAAGCAAGCATGGCATTGAAAGAAAATGCCAGTTTTGCAGATATTTTCATGGTACCATATGATGTGCCTAGTAGAAAGATGAGAGGGCTGAAAAATAGTGAATTTCTGGGTAGCTATGAGTTAGGGAGCTAGATAAGCACCTTGCATGCATTGGATCACTAATAAATATTTCTTAACTGTGAACTAAGCCTCATCAAACTATAAATTTGATGTATCCATTTGTTGAAATTGCTAGCATGTAACCCCTGTCAATCAGGAGAGGTGATTTCAACCATCCAGCTGCAATAATTCATGCTATTGTCATTTTGAATGGAGTCATAAGACATGTTTTTGCGGAGGTTGCCTTTATCAGAAATTCTATCAAATGCTGTTGTGACTGAGTCATCTTGTCAGGTCACTGGACTGTGATGCTACCCAAAAACCTGCAGACCTGCCTCATATTTTCCTATTTATTTGTCAGGTGTGGTACAAAAGGATATAGAAGAGGTTTCAAATGGTGATAATTATCCACACCTTTTATAACCTTGTTGGAGTTTAAGAGCATTGTATACAATGTATTATGTTGAATATAACTCAGAATCTAACAAGGAAAAGGGTAACCCATTGCATTTGCCAAACATTTCTTGCAAGAGTGTAGCTAGCACCATTTCAAAGGGCACTATGGTGGTTTGCAAAAATCATGTCAGTATACTTATATTGATGACTATGGTCAAGTCTTTCGCAGCAGTGTGAACATTGCTCGTTAGTTGTGATGGGGTATTCAAATTGCCTACTGATCCATGACCCCTGGACAAGAAGCAAATATTTGGGATCTCAGTGCCATTAGCTACCAATATAAAACATATGAATGTTTTTCATAGGGCCATGAAAGTGCAGAATGTGATGCATTTATGTGCACTCATGCCTTAAATCCCATGATGTCTTGCTTTTGTGAGACAACTGTCTTTCTCTCAGCTGGTCTGCACTGCTATATATATATATATATATATATATATATATATATATATATATATATATATATATATATATGTGACATTTTGAATTGGCCCAAGTTTTCTGAACTGGACCCAATTTTGTGTAGTCATGTATGCTGTCACTTGATATGACATCTTGTTCATCCTCAAATACAAATATGTTTCATTACATCACTTTTTACCTGTCATGATATGTTTCCTCAAAGGCTGTTCCAGAGAAATTCAGTAGATCTTCAATGAAACTACTTTGGCCAAAGCTGAAGCTACTTGGAGCTAAGCTTTGTTTTGTCCCAAAGGGCTGTGAGACCTACTAGACCTACCTATTGCAAAATGCATCATGTCTGACCTTGTTTACAGCAATTACATTATTAAGAAAGTTTGACACCTGTCTGTTGATTCAAAACAAAATAAGTGTGACTTTAACATCCCATAATTCAAAATCAACACTTCATTATAGTCAAAACTTCTGACTACACATGTCACTCCAACCTAGCCTCATTTGCAACCCAACCTGTGCTCCTACTGCAGGCCCTTTCCATTTCCTATGCCAGTCCCAACTCTTTATACCAAATACTTCTCCAAATCTTGTAAACTTGCATACCCTTTACACTTACCAGCTCGATAAAAACCTTGCTATTGGGCTGAATGACCACCACAGTCATTGTGTAAACACCAACAAGTAATCAATGGTGCATTCCCTACTACAGCCAGCCAAGGCAGACAATCCTTCATGCACTACACAATATGTGCCCACCATTCAGAGCACTGAAAAATACAAACTTGACATTCTTCTGGTTACTAGGTGCTGGAAGGTGAGTGGGAGCAGTGAATAGCTGTTTTATCCAACAACTATGGTATGGTGCATAGGAACATGTGTGCACATAGAGTACTTGATGCCAGCAGCCTGTCAGCTGTATGCCATGGAAATAGCTGATGTTTGCAACTTGCCTTGTTCTGTTTACAGAAAATACACTGAAGGTCTTCCGGGATGGCGTACGATATGGATGACCAGGCTGAGTGCCCGCTGTGTATGGAACAGTTTGAGATGGATGATCTTAGCTTCTTCCCTTGCACGTGCGGGTACCAGGTGAGCCAGCATTTACCCTCTTCTGTGCAACAATGGCCAATTTTTATGCATTCGGACAGCGTGCCGGCATGCAATTACTGATAGTTTCAATGTGTTGGGTTCTCAAAGTGTAAGAGTCCTCTGCTTTGGGTGTCACTGGGGCTGTTAAAAATATATATGGGTCATTCAAGGTCATTTTGAATTTATCTCAGCTAGCCTTGTAAATTGCAGTGATTACATGATGTGTTGTACTCCATGTAGTGATTATATGCTATTGGTGTCAATTTTGAACGAGGTTTTAGATCTGGGTCATGGTGAGCCAGAATTTTCAGAAATCCAAGGCACTTTAATGCCTCTGCTGGAGCCAATGCTGCTATTGCAGGGATATGCTGTTTCAGGGCATCTGTTGCTGAAGGTGAAGGTGTAAAATGTGTTTAGCATGTGACATGGCTCCTTTTTCTTTGAAGTCATTGGAGCCATGCTGTGTATTGAACCAGGTGCATTGTGCAGGGGTGTAAGGGTGTGTAGACAGGGGGAAATGGACACCTTGATGTGATGTACCTGGTAGCTAACCATGTGTCTAACTTGTGAAAACTGAAAAAATGGTGCCGACTATTGTTTGATGGTGGAGTGCCATGTGTCTGGGGAAACTGAACATGTATGTTGGAATGACTCTGAAGCTCCTCCCTGAATGATGTGAAATGTAACCTTCCCCATCTCCCTGTATTTCTAGGAGCTTTGTTGGCAGCTTTTGTGAGCATAGCTTAATATTATTTAGATAAATTGAGAATGTACTAAAAGGGCCATTTTGTTTGCTGTTCTGGCCATTGCTCTATGCTCCATTGTTCTTAACTGGCAAGGAATGGAATGCAGGATGCCCTCATGTGTACTGAGTCAAGTATCAAAGGTTTAAATCACCATTATGCACAATAAGAGTACATTCAAAGGAATACATTTAAAGGAATAAAAAAGATGCATTCAAAGAAATCATAGAACATTGTGCTTGATGTCAGGTCAAGGGGTATCAATGATTTGTCATGCTCTGCCATATTTTTTTTACAAGCAGCTTTTGCCTACACCAGCACTTTTTGTTCTGGAAATTTCCATGCTTGTAATCAATCTGAGATGTACTTTTATGGTGCAGCTGGGTGTCATTCAGTGTTGGTCAAATAATCAGACACTAAGTTTTTTTGTGAATGGAATATTTCTAACCAGGAAAACTGAGGGTCAGATTTTACCCCCTTTGTTCCCTTGAGTTTCTCATGTGCATAATGTTCACGTGTAGATTGTGCTGGTTCAATCCACACTGCTAAGCTGACTATGAAATAATTGTCACTTGTTAGCTCAGACTTTTCACTTGCAATGTTCATTTTCAAGGATTTTCCTGTAGTCCTTTTTCCATAGACATGGGTGGATCACTTTTGTTACCAATGACATGAGAACTTAGATGCATTTTGTTATGGCTTTCAATCAAGTGGAAGCTTTGCATGTGTCGGTTCGCGTCTGATATGAACGCCGTCGCCCGTTAGTGGCGTCAAAACCTGTCATGCGGCGAATCCGTTGGGTGGTTCAAACTGATTGGCTCTCTGTCGACAAACTTATGGTTAGTGTCACACTGTGAGCTAAATAGTGTTTTTTGTAGCATTAGATAGCTTTGTTACACTAGAAATGTAAATTAAATAAAAGTCAATTGCTTATTGTAAGATTTGGGTGACCCAGTTGTGCCTTCTGGCATAAAGTGTCAGAGCAAAGTCACTAGTCCTGCACATTCATTGAAATCATGTGGTATCTGCCGAAAGAACCTCCACAATATGATTGTAGTTTCAGAGATTTATTTACAAGTGAATTGATTTATACACCAGGTCAGCACTACAATAATCAGGGACAATCCATGTGTATTGTTACCCTGATTATTGTCTTGGTTGAATCATATGTGTGTCCCTTTTTCATTTTCTGATCCAGCTGGTAGAACAAACAGGAGACTAGCTTGTTTTGGTAACATGTTATTCCAGGGGAATAGCCGCCAATGTATAATATCAAAGGGTGCCATTGAATGACTTGAGTGATATTGTAGTACGACGTCATGCCGGAAAATGCAGCCATTTTTGTCCTTGCACACTGGATTGTCATGTGGGACCATGTAATGTAATGAACATTCTTAAAGGCTGCTTGGAGGGATGGCAGTGATGCCGGTGTAAGCAGCCTCATCAACGCTATCCGTCGCACTTGACGTGCATTTGCAGCGTTACTTTTGCTTTACAGGTACGACGTTATCTGCCTGTTTTGGCATGCACCGCCACACTCCGCGTGACTGGGCGGATGTTACCAGATCCGTGAAGGCTGTCCCACAGTGGCCGGGGTGTTGGAGATACAGCAGCTAAACGGAGCGGCAAGCGGGGCGTTTGGCTAACGGTTTGATAAGCTGCAGGGCGGCCGCGCGCGCGCGTGTGCGTGCGTGCGTGCGTGCGTGCGTGCGTGCGTGCGTGCGTGTGTGTGTGCACCTGTCGTTGTCCACGCGCTGGAGCGGTCGGGCGGCCGGCGGGACCAGGAGAGTTGGAGTCTATCTGGCCGCGGCCCAGCTCCAGCTCCAGCCGCGGTCCGACCGCGATCGGGCGCTTACGGGCGACGTTCCCGCAGATCTGCCGTTTCTGCTGGCACCGGATCCGCACCGACGAGAACGGCCTGTGCCCCGCCTGCCGAAAACCTTACTCGGAGAACCCGGCCGACTTCAAGCCGCTCACCGCCGAGGAACTGCAGAAGATCAAGGCCGAGAAGAAGCAGAAGGACCTGCAGAAGAAGCAGAAGATGAGCGAGAACCGCAAGCACCTGGCCAACGTGCGGGTGGTGCAGAAGAACCTGGTGTTCGTGGTGGGGCTGTCGCCGCGGCTGGCCGACCCGGACGTGAGTGGCCTGTGACGCAGCCGTGCGGTCGGCCTCCTGCTGCCGGCGCGCCGCCGCCGGACGGGGCTGTGGCACGGCCCGTCCGGCCCGTCCAGGCGGCGTGCAGCATACGCGACTGAGCTGTTGTTCTGTTGAATAGGGCTGTGGTTTGTTGCGTGCTGAATCAGCGTGAGTCAGCACCAGATGGGTCTGTGTTTTAGATGACGATTGTCTGTAACTGGTAAAGGTGGGTTACGCTGTAACCTTGGTGGATGCTTTTCTTTCCAACAACGATGCCCCACGGTCACGGTGTTGTGCCCTTCTATTTCAGGTGTTAAAACGTCACGAGTATTTCGGCAAGTTCGGCAAGATCCATAAAGTAGTGATAAACCATAGCACGCAATATGCTGGCTCTCAGGTAAGCGGACGTTGTATGCCGGAGGGTCTGCGGGTCCGGTGGCGTCCACGGTGACGACTTCGTCCCATTTCATTGATCCGTAGACGCCTAAGATGGAGCCAGAAGCCGAGACGACGTCCTGGTGTGTTCACGCGTCACGACTAAGCGGGGGTGGAAAATCGATGGCGTTCTGGGTGACTTCGAAGCAAGAAAATGTGCGCCGCACGGAATGCGAATCGCTACATTTAGCTGTGCTCATTCTGGGGAGATTTGATTTGCCAAAGATGACAGACTAAGTAACATCTGGTAACAAGCGTTCCACATCTGGTCTTTGGTATGGATTCGTCGCTGGTTGGCTGCAGTTTTGCATGCATTGTCCGAACCGAAACTTCGCCGATTGGATCCAGTTATTGCCTCGTATGTGTACGTGGTAGGTCGTAATTCTTGATGTATGCAGAGACTGCGGGCACAATCTGAGCTGGGGCTCTGCACATGGCATTGCTACACAACCGCTTCAGATGCAACGGCTGGCACTGAAGGCGAAACATCCGCCGTCACCGGAGCGCCCTTCCGTTACCCAGCTGGCCCCTAAGCTCCGCGCAGCTGTGTGCGGGGCTGTCGGGGCGGTCAACTCCAATCTCCGATCCAAATAAAATCTCCTCCAATCTTCTCTCCTCCTTCTCCAAATAAAACTCCAATCAACAACAACTGTCGGGGCGGTGTTGGGGAGGGAGGGGGTGGGGGGGGGGGGGGGGGTGGGGGGGTCTGTACCCCGTGGTACGCGTGCCCCAGACATCGGCGGCCTTCACTGGCCGTTTGACGCAGTGTCGCGGTCTGTCTCAGGGCCCCAGCGCTAGCGCCTACGTCACCTACTACCGGTCGGAGGACGCGTTACGGGCCATCGAGGCCGTCAACAACGTGACGGTGGAGAACCGCACGCTGAAGGCGTCGCTAGGCACTACCAAGTACTGTTCGCACTTTATGAAAAACCAGCCCTGTCCGAAGACGGACTGCATGTACCTGCATGAACCGGGTAAGTGGGTCGGCACGGGTCGAAAAGGGTCGGAGGCACGCGGCTAAGTTGCTCTGGGGTGAGGGGGGGGGGGGGAGGGAGGGGGCTGGATACCACCCAACGTCAGATTTGTGACGAAGCTTTGTGGAACGCTTAACATGTCATTGCTGGGACTGCGGCTGTTTAGATATTGATGTCAGTGTTCAGATCTGTGTTCCAGAAGTCAAGAAAACATGTTAATGGTAATATCTGGCTTTGACGTGATAAATAACTCGCAGATATACTAGCTGCGATTACTGGAACGCGGTCGTCTTCCCCTCTGCTCTCTTTCTCGGGTGTTGTGGGTCTGACGGTTTGGTAACGGTGGCGGTATCAATGGCACGGCAAGAAGCGTATGCCGAGTACCAACGGTACTCCGGTATCCTGAGACTGTCCCATATTACAGGCGATGAGGCGGCCAGCTTCACGAAGGAGGCCATGCAGCAGGGAAAACACCAAGAGTACGAGAAAAAGCTTCACGATCAGCTTTATCAACAACACCAAAATCAAATCAACCGGGCGAAAGACCGGTACGCCGTCGCCGTGCTGCGGCCAACGCTTTGTTTTACCGTGCGAACTGTCAGTGACGGTTCATGTGACTTCGATTTGTGTGTGTCTATCGTGTCGATTTGCGCGATGTGACACCGTGTTGGGAGACGCGACCCTTGCGCCCAGTGTCGTTGACCGTCGCTGTTGCCGGACGCTGGCTTGTGAACTATGTGTCCCGCCTCCTCCGTGGCGGTGACACCCGTCCGAGCTGTGTGTCGCGCCTCCCCCTCCTCCGTCGCGGCGACACCCGTCCGAGCTGTGTGTCGCGCCTCCTCCTCCTCCATCGCGGTGACACCCGTCCGAGCTGTGTGTCCCGCCTCCCCCTCCTCCGTCGCGGTGACACCCGCCCAAGCTATGTGTCTCACCTCTTCCTCTTCCTCCGTCGCGGTGACACCCGTCCGAGCTGTGTGTCCCGCCTCCTCCTCCTCCGCCGCGGTAACACCCGCCCAAGCTATGTGTCTCACCTTTTCCTTCTCCTCCGTCGCGGCGACACCCGTCCGAGCTGTGTGTCCCGCCTCCTACTCCTGCGTCGCGGTGACACCCGTCCTAGCTGTGTGTCTCGCCTCCTCCTCCTCCGTGACGGTGACACCCGCCCGAGCTGGGTGTTCCGCCTCTTCCTCCTCCGTGGCGGTGACACCCGTCCGAGCTGTGTGTCCCGTCTCCTCCTCCTCAGTCGTGGTGACACCCGTCCGAGCTGTGTGTCCCGCCTCCTCGGCCGTCGCAATAACGCCTGCCCGGCCGGCGCGTGTGTGTGCTGCAGGCGGTCCCACCAGTCGCAGTCTGAGTCCGGCTCGGTGCCCATCCCGCCCGGCTCGGAGCGCGTGAGCAGCGCTGAGAACAGCCCTCCCGACGGCGGCTCGGCCGGCTCGGCCGGCTCGAGCGGCGGCGGTGGCGGCGGCGGCGGTAGTGGCGGCGGCGGCGGCAGCTCCACCTCCAACGGTAGCTGGCCGCTGCTGCAGGCGACCAAGAAGTCGCGCGGGCCGCAAGGGTCGTAAGCGGAACGCTGGCGGCCAGAGTCCGAGCGTGGTGGTGGCGAGCAATCACTCGGACGACGAGAACAGCGCCGGCTCGCGGGAGCGCCAGACCGACAGCAGTCGGTCGACGCCGCTCTCGCAGTCGGCCCCGCCGCTGCAGGTGGGGCCGGCCGCCACGCCGCCGCCCGAGCCGCCCCGCTCAGCCGTCTCCTCCGCCGCCTCCGCCGGCGCCGGCGCCCGTGCCCGTGCCCGTGCCGGCGCCCGAGACGACCGCCGTGCGGTCCGCCTCGCCGCCGCCGCCGCCGCCGCCGCGCGCCGAGCCGCTGGCGACGTTGACTCCGCCGCCGGGCCTGTCGCACCCGACGCCGGCTTTGACGCCAGCGTCGTCCTCCGGCTCGGGCGAGTGGCTGCTGCCGGCACGCGCCGCCGACGCCACGGTGGCGGCGCTGCTCAGCCAGCCCACGCCGCCGCCGGAGGAGGACGACTGCCCGCTGGACGGCGCCGACGACGATCTCGACTTCGACCCGTTCGAGGAGACCAAGAAGGGGCTGGGTGCGCTGCTGGAGCGTGAGCGCGAGCAGCAGGCGCAGCTGCAGCAGCAGCAACAACATCAGCAGCAGCAACGGCACCACCATCACCAGCAGCAGCAGCATCTGCTGCGGCTAGGCGGTGGCCTGCTGCCACACTCGCAGTCTCAGTCGCTGGCGGCCGCTAGCTTTAATGTGCCGGGAGGCGCGGCGCCGCGCGTGCGCCCGCCACCGCCCGGCTTCAGCGGCCCCAGCGGACTAGGCCTGGGCCTGGGCTGTGCGCCACAGCAGCCGTCGCCAGGTGACTAAGAGACACCGCCTCCCCGCCGGCCCGCAGGCCTACCAGCCTCTGTTCGGCTAACCACTAAGCTTAAGTGTTTTGATTTGCTTGATATGGCACAAGGCAGGAACTGCGCTCTTCCAAGCAGGTTATTTGTTGTGGTCGTGCCAGGCGCTTTGACGTTCCAATTTCAAAGTGGCATACAATTATCACACCAGAGTCATGTTTGTTTTGCTCATGATTTGGTGATCGCTGGTGGCTATTGGGGATAGATTGATGGTGCAATGTAAGATCGCACACTGTGTTTTCCCCAGCATTTCGTCGATAACAGCGTTTGGTTGGTGTTGCAGATCTATGTGGCAGCAAGATGCTGCCCTTCCTCAATAATAGCGCTATGAACGGTATGAACGGGTTGAACGGACTGAGCCGGCTGCCGCCGGGTCGGCCGCGGGCGCTCTCTCCGCCGGACAGCCTCTTCTCGGACCTCTCCAGCATGATGATGCACGGCCAGAGCAAGCCGCCGCCGCCGCCGCCGCTGCAGGCGGCGTGTCATGACGCTCTCAAAGGACTGGCACGGCCTGAAGAAGCACTTCCCCCAACATCAACATCTCGTTCAGCAGCGCACAGCCGGCGACGGCGCCGCCGCCGGGCGCGGCTCGGTTCGGCGCCCAGCCGGGCCGGCACGCGGTCCCGCACGGCCTGGTGCAGCACGGCGCTGCACCCCGGTTCATGGCCCAGCCGCACAAGACCAGCTCGGCAGGTACGGCCGCTGCCGCTAGACAGACGCCCCGGCGCGCAACATGACGCAAGTTTGGCAGATGTTGCACTATCGCCGGGAGGGCAGGGCCGTGAAAGCATGGAAGGGATCAGAACGATTTGGTGTGGGGGATTTGAAGCCTTGTTGAAGAGGAGGCTGTTTATGTTTTTATTGCGCGGTGTGGTAATTATTTCTCTGAACCTGTGCTGTTGGCGTGGTAATTAGTTTACGAATGCCCAACTTTCGGAAGGATGAGTCGACCCTTGTCAAGATGAAGCACGGAGTTCCTTCGTGCGTTGTTCATCAGGCACAGGCCCAAACTTGATCTATGGTCGCAATGCGTATGTCAACCACTACGAATGTTCATCAGTTGTCTTTTCCCCGGGGACCACTTGCTCTAATCAGCCTCTCATTCGACTCACGTCTTGGAACTCGTTTTTTCTGCGCATGCTGGACTTCCACGAAGGCCAGTCGAGCGTGGGTCCGTGCCGACTCCCGCTGACTCCCGCCCCGGTGTTGTCAGCTTCTAGAGCGTCGAGAGTGGCAGGTGAAAAGCGCGTGGGTGGTGACATGACGCGACGCGTGCGCGCGTCGGGCGTGACGACGTGACGTGACGCATGCGCGCGGGCCGGCAGGCTGGAGCGGCGGCTCCGACTGGACGGCCATGGATCCAGCGATCGTGTCGTCGGGCCAGCTGGCGGCGCCGCGCTCCGACTCGCCGCCGCACTGGCTGCGCTCGCTGGAGCAACTGACCGAGACGGGCCCGATGTACCCGCCGCCGGCGCCGCGGCCGGCCGCCGCGCCTGCCCTCTGGACGTCCACCCCGCCGCCCGGCTTCAACCCGGCGCTGGGGCGCGCCACTGCCGACAGTGAGTGTCGTGTGGTGGGGAGGGATTGGGGTTGCTTATAAAAAAACATCGATTTTTATTCGTCATTGTGACGTGAAGGTTATCTTGTATTGGTCCGCACCTAAAAATAGAAATGCAAAACTGGCATGAATGTGAAATGAGATATGGTGTGGCGTTATTCATGCTTCGTTTATAACAGTGTGTCAATGTGATGTGAACAAACACCTGCCATGCCCAGTGCTACTGGGCCGTGGCCTTGCCAAAGCCTCAAGCACGGACATATGGAACCGTAAACATCGCTGCTCACCACTCAAGCTCACCGCCGCAGAATGAGAACTGTTGTCGGCATGTTTACGTTTGAAAGGTGTATGTAACATGTGGAGGCGATTTTAAAACGAAGTCATTTATTTTCTTGAGAGAATCGCGCTGATATGTTGCCCTGTCCCAGGCCTATCCTAATTCCTCAGAGGCTTTGTGGCGCCTGATTTCGAGCGGGCTGAGCGACACTTGGTTTATTAACAAGAGTATGGCGATGACCCAGAGCCATGACAACCTTAATCAGCAATGTTGCGTGGCCTGTGCCGCCTAAAGAGCTAACTGGAAAGTGGTGAACAAAAAAATACTGCCCGTCGCACACGGACCAATTATTGATCCGTTATCATGATCTTTGGATTTCCGGCTCACAGCCGCGAAAATCCGTAGGTCCACTCGCACAGTCTGAGCAGAAGGTGGTGAGTACTCGCGGCTAGCACCGCCGGGAGACGGACGCAGTCGGTGGCTGCGAGTGCTGCCGGCCGTGTCCGTTGGCTCTGTTGGCCAGTGCGCCAGCCTGAGCGTGACGTCGCGTCACGGACCGGGCCGGACGTGGCCGGGCAGTGTCCGACAGTGCGCCAGCCTGAGCGTGATGCCGCTTGACGGAACGGGCCGGACGTGGCCGGGCAGTGTCCGACAGTGGGCCAGCCTGAGCGTGACGTCGTGTCACGGACCGGGCCGGACGTGGCCGGACAGTGCGCCGGCCTGAGCGTGACGTCGCGCCGCTGACCGGGCCGGACGTGGCCGGACAATGTCCGACAGTGCGCCGGCCTGCGCCTGACGTCGCGTCCCTGACCGGACCGGCCGCAGAGGAGCGCTGACGCTGACGCGCCGCCCGCCTCTGCTTGCAGACCTCTAACCTGGAACAGCCAAACGGAATCACACAAGCCGCCTGAATCTGTCGTCTTCGATCTGCCTCTGCGCGCCAGCCGGCTGCCAGTCGGCCGACGCAAGCGTCTGGAGCCGGTCTCGTTTCTGTGGCAGCGTGAAGTCAAAATTCGTCCGGTGCATTTAGGTTGGGGTCGGCCGTATATCTCTACGTTACTGTGCTAATGTGGTGTCCGCCAGGAGAGATCATGCCGAAATCTGTGATGATGCAACTCTGTTACGAGCCCCGCGGGGAAGCCGGTGCCGTCATGCGAGATAGAAACCATGGATATATGGCGCCATCCCACTGGACGATTGCGTTTATGGCATTTGTTGGAGCCGGGTGGATTTGGTGCGCAATGTGTTTGAAACGCCCCAGGCGCAGAGGTTATTATCGTTTGCTCACGTCGGGCCTTGGAAGCTGGATCCCTCGGATGCTCCGGCGTGTGGCGTGGCGCGCTCCGGGCCCCTTCCAGCGGCGGTGGCGGGTGGCACGGGTCGGGTCCGTTAGACCCTGGCTCGTGCTTGCCACGTTGGCCTGGGTACGATGCTTACGCCAAGCGGTCGGGCAGACCCGGCTGTACGCGTGGCACCGCTGGTCCACCGCCGGTCGGTATGTGGGCCACGCGTCGGCGGGGTCTGCCGACCCACCGCGCGCTGGTCCGGGCCTCGCCGTTGGCTGGTGCGGGTCCTGGCGAGGGTAGGATAGAACGGGACGCTGGACCGGGCGGCCGGGGGGCGGACACCAGCGGCGGCCGCAGGGGCCGACTGGCGGTGGATGGGTGGTCACAGCGGGGCCGGAGGCCCGCCGAGCGGGTCCGGGGCCGCCGCTCAACCGGAGGGGTCTTTGAGTTGGGGCGAAGGCCGGCCGCCGCGGCGCCGGGGACGAACGGACAGAACCGTGAAGAGTATATGTGCGCGCGGCAGGAGGACAGCGGGCGGAGCGGGCGACGGAGCGAGCCAGATAGGTACATGTGCGCCGAGTCAGTTCAGGGAGGGACGGTGCCAGCGGCGGCGGCCGAGCCGGGTCGGAGGTGACCATTGGGCACTCACCGTGTCACTGTGTGTTATGTTGCCTTGACCCATTCTCCGATTGGTTTAACTTCAATCCGAAAGTACTTGGCAATCTTTCTGAAATAAAGAAGCGACTCCTTGCAACTGATTTTCGTGCGATGGCTGTCAGATTTATGGTTTCGTGACTGTAAAATAAGCTGTAAACGCGAAGAGCGCCTGGCTGTAGTTGGCAAGTGTTCCAGAATCCCGCGTCGCTCGCAGATTGTATTTCGGGTTGTGCTGGCGTGTGTCTCGACATGACTAGGCCATCTGCTTCGTCGCGACAGAGTGCGGGCGACAGGCACCCGGCGGCCGCTCACCCTTGGGCCTCGGAGCACTGGGCCGCGCGCCCGATAGTGCAGGAGGTGCGGCCCGACGGCCTGTCTGTCGGCTCGGCGTCTTGCCCCCTCCCCTCTGCTGCGTTCTAATCACACTGCTGCCGCTGGCGGCGACGGTCGGTCGGCCGTCGCCTCTGCCTCAGCATAGTGCTGGAGGCAGAGTTTACACCGCTGGCGGCGGCCGTCACCTCCGCTCAGCATAGTGCTAAAGACAGAGTTCACATCGCGGGCGACGGTCGGCCGTAGCCTCCGCTCTGCGTGGCGCCGGGGACAGAGCTTCACATCGCGGACGACGGTCGATCGTGGCCTCCGCTCAGCGTGGCGCCGGGGACAGAGCTCCACTCCGCGGACGACGGTCGGCCGTGGCTTCCGCTCAGCGTGGCGCCGGGGACAGAGCTCACCGCGGACGACGGTCGGGCGACTACACCATTATGCTCGGACTCTGTCAGCTGCCCGAAACGCCGCTCATGTATGATTTCGGAGCGGCGGTTTGCGGGGACCTATTTCCAGTCACATTGAAACACCGTTGACGGCGGGCCGTCAGCGCGTTTCTTTGCCCCCTGCAACCGTGTGAGTGAGCGCAAGGTATTGATACGATCTCATTTTCGGCGCTCCAATCGCGTTGGGGAAAAAGTTATGGTGTCATTGCGAAAATCTCCCGCTGTGGCAAAAATGCTCCTTCCAATTGGAGCAGCAGCTCCGGGTTCACATCACTTGACAACCAACCCAAAATTTGGTCATCGTTTCATATAGTGAAATGACGATATGTGATATCATCGGATGCATCTTAAAAACGGGTTGCAGTGAACGGGGCTGCACGATCCATTGGCGCGGTACTAAAAGTTTCAAACCCAATCAAAGCCACGTTTGTGATGCTGGGAATATTACGGTCCCGGGTTGGCACCATATGCGGCGGTCATAGCTCTGGCACGGGTTGTCCGTAAAGCTGGTGGTTCATGCAGCGATATATAGCGCGATGAGTTGCGATTATATTCCATTGAACGAAAATGTGATTCATTCCATCCCATCCATTGAAAAACCATATTACGGTCAACTGCGGCACGAGAACATCGAGAGCTGATACTTAAATTTGCGATAACACGTGAATCAAGTTCAAACATGGAGAACTCCATATGACCCAAGAGATACCAGGTGATTTGAAATATTCAGGCATCAGAATATTCACCAGAGCGGAAACTGTCGTCCTTCAAGAAGCTCTGAAAACGCGGTCACATTTTAAGGTCAAATTTAGCCTCACAGGACGTTAAGCTCTATATCACTACAAAGCATTGGCTTATTTGAACTTTTTAAAACATCAGAATATTCACCAGCGCAAGACCTAGATTCCGTCAAAATATTCCTCTCAAGTTCACCACTCAATGCCAAATATAGCCTCACTGGACAGAGAAATCAATATCACATCCAATTGCCAGGCGATTTCGAATTTTTAAGTGTCTAGCGCATGAATGAGCGCCCGTAAAAATATACCTTTTAATGGTGTAAGGTAAAATTTAAGCTCACATAATACGAAGCTCCACATCACAACTGCTTTAGCCTATTTGTACTTTAACCTAACCTAACCTAACCTAAATATGCACCGGCGGCACTAGCGTCCGTCAAAAGTCATGATTTTGCAAGGCTTATCTTAGCCTTCAAGGTATATCTTGGGCTTGCATGACAGTGAACTCCATATCACAAAGCATTACTGGCTGATTTCGAATTTCAAGGGGCCAGAATAATGTACTACATAGACTAGCGTTCTTCCAAAGTTCTGATCTCTCAGGTCAGATTTCAAGGCAAAGTTCAGACTCCATAGCTAGGAACACAATATAAAAAGTACCGGTCGATTTCGTTTTAAGCATCAGAATTTTTAATAGCGCAAAAACTATGCCCCTCTAGAAGTCCTGTCTTCTCAAGGTCACTCTTCAAGGTGAAATCGAA